AATATTATTATGAACAAGAAACAAAACATCCCTCCTCCTGTATAGTATTTATATAGTTAATTATTATAAAATATTTCTATTTATTATCATAGTATGCATGAATATGGCATCGTCTCTATCGAACATCAACGAATTCAAGTTATCGTCGTTCTTCTTATTATAATGAACTTGATTTACCAAAAAATGATCTTGATTTTCGTTTACGAACATGTTATAATCATGCTCAAGAAACATTTGCATCTAAAGCACGTGTTGTCGTTCAACCAATAACAATCTGTTTTAATCAACTAAACTCGTCACATACAAATATTTATCCATTGAAAATCATTAATAGTCATCGAAAAGAACATTTCAATGAAGCAACAAAAGGTCAACATCAATAGTTAAATTATAAAAATAAAAAATAAATTACAAATCTATTGCATTAAATCACATTTAATTAAGAAGTTCATGAACAATCGCATCAATATTACCATTATATATTTCAAGATGATATTGAAGTGTTTCATCATCAATATGTGGAAGCATTTCATGTAGTATCGCGAGATTTTCGGAATTTGTTACATTGTTATCTGTAAGAATACATAAAAATTAAAGAAGATATATAAATAAAGTAATATATACTAGTTGATCTATTTTCATTGTTATCAGAAGAAATATTCATATTATCATATTGTTGAGTAAAACGATTTAAAAATCGATCCATCGTCCTTTAAGTAAATGAACAAAAATAAATGAAATTTCATTTCATGTCTTTTTTACTCTCGTCGATCTGCTTCACGAGTTTGATCAGTCCATCCAGTAGCACCGTCATCATCTGTTGAACGTAATTGAGTATTTTGATCTTGATGACTTTTTTCCTGTAAAATAAAAATATAGAAATAATTTAATGAAAATATTTCTTACTAATCGTGCAAATTTTTCTCGTCGATATTTTTCTGCTTGTTGTTGACGAACTTCATCTTCAGTTAATCCACCGCCACCTTTAAAGAAAATAACTTCTGTTTCCTTTCATGTCTAATACGAAAATATACTTTACCTAAACGATGTACTTCATGAATACCATGCATGCGTTTCCGTTCAATATGTGCTTCATATTGACGTTGTTCATTTTCAGCTTGTCGTCTCATTTGTTCACGTTTTATTGTCGATGGTGTAAACATATGATATCCATCACTGAAAATATTTTTGATTCTATAGACAATTAAATTCCTTATTCAATCAACAAACCCAACATGAGTAGTACGTTCTGGTAGATTCGTTCGATCGTCTTGATTATGTGCATTATTATGATTTACTTCTGGTCGTACCGGTTGAGTATGCATAGTTCGACCACGTACTGGTGCTCGAGCACCACGATTCATTCCTCGAGATGTTGTTGTTGTTGTGGGAACAGTAGGTCTTTGTGAAACTCCAGTGGCTCGTGGTGCTGGTGGTCGTCGAGCAGTTGATGGTGGTGGAACACGATAAACTCGAGACATGAAAAATAAATCTGGAAACTAAATGTGAAGACAAATCGATCGTGAATAATGATTATACATATTTTTTTTTCTCTTTGATGAAACATAGATATTGCAAAAAAAGAAACAAACACATGAGAATAATAGAATCACACGAAACGAAAAGAAAAATGATGTGTGAATACTCGTTTATCGCCAAATTCGACAAGTATTATCTTTACTGCCTATCAAATAAATACAAAAATTTAAGATATTATTTCTTTCATCTATTTGCAAACCTGTAATTATTGTATTTCCTTCATAATTAAAGGCACAGCTAAATATTTCATCGGTATGTCCTTCAAGTATTTGTTTACATTCACCCGATAGTGGATCCCAAATGCGAGCAGTTTTATCAGCACCTAAATAAAGAATAAAAATAATATTTCTTTTTTATTTTTATAGGTAATTTATTTCAAACTTACTAGCTGTAATTAAACGATTGCCTTGAGGATTAAAAGCAATCTAAAAAACAACATATGAATCTTCAAAATAAAATATTCATTTTCTTTACTTTAGATATTTCAGCTTGATGTCCAGTTAATGTTGCTATACATAGATTACTTAATGCGTCATATACACGCCCAGTTTTGTCAGCTGATGCTGTTGCTATATATTGACCAGTTGAATCAAATACAACATCGAGTACTTCATCTTCGTGTCCACGTAATGTTGCTACACATTCACCTAGAAATTAAGAAAATAAAATAAATAGAAAATTCATTCTTCTTTTTCTTTTTTTTTGTGTACCTGATAATGCATCCCACAATTTACATGTTTTATCCATACTACCAGTTGCTATTCGACTACAATCCCAATTAAACTGGGCACTGCTTACTTCTGCTGTATGACCAATTAATGTATGAATTTTACTATAAAATAGTAAAATATATGAGATGAATAATAATATATCTTTATTTTTTTGTTCTTACTCTCCAGTGCGAACATCCCATATAGCTACAGTTCGATCAAATGAAGCTGTTATAACTTGATCACCTCGTGTATTAAAACTAACTGATATTATTTCACCAGTATGACCCTAAATTAAATATAATAGATAAAGCTTTGTATATTAATGACATACATGTAAACTAGCGATTTCTGAACCAGAAACAATATCCCATAATTTTGCTGTATGATCCATACTACCAGTGACTAAAACAGTACTTTGAGGATTGAATGCAAGACATACCTAAATTTAAATTAAAATAAATATTATCTTAGAAAAATAATTTATACTTACAACTTCACCAGTATGACCACGAAGTGTATGATAACATGTACCACGTTCTGTACTCCAAATACACGCTGTTTTATCAAATGAACCAGTTGCTATTTTATCTCTTCAATTAAAAAAATTAACTTTTAGAAAAATTTAATGCTATTTAATTTCTAAAACTTACCCATATGGATTATTAAATGCTATTGCATAAACAACATTTTTATGTCCTTCAAGAGTATGTAATTCTTCACCTGATGCTGTATCCCATACTTTACATGTACGATCATATGAAGCAGTAATAAACCTAAATATCAATAATTTAATAAGAAAGAAAAAATGAAGAAATTTCAATCTTACATAGAACCGGATTTATTGAATGCGACATATGTTGATGGAAGTATATGTGCACGAAGTACTTTAAATAAATAAAAACGTTTATCATCTTGCTGAGATATTTTTTCTTGTAATCCTTTACAAAAAGAAATATACATATATATGATAATAAAATAATTTTGAAACTTTTTTACTTTCTATTAATTCTTTAACTTTATCAACTTTCGTTGCTGTTATTAATGGTTCTCTTTTTACAATTTCCTCAACAATACTATTGATATCAGTACTAAAAAACAGTTTTTTCATATTATATAAAATAATCATTGCATTTTCTTACTCAGCTTTAAGATCAAGTAAATCAATTGATTTTGTTTTTAACACATTACTTTGTTCATACTCAAGAATAATTCCTGGAGGATAATAACGAAGAAGAAAACGTTTTAGACGCATATCTTTTTTTCAACACACTAGTTCGTAACTCAAATGAAAAGAAGAATTTTCTCTTCACCTTCCATAATGTTACCATGACGAAACCTTTCACAATCAAGTTTTTCCATTGATAGAGGGCACTAGTTGTCCATATATCGCTTACTTCCGATCATATTTTAATTGATATGAATTGTATAATATTTTATTTGTTCTTTATTTTTCCCTTTTTTTATTTAAAAAAATTGCACAAAACAACACTATTGCTTTGCAGTCCGTTTTTAGTACGATGTTTTTTATGAACGAATTTTTGCCGTTATAGCTGATAGACCCGCAAAAATTAATCGAAAAAGAACAACAAAGATGCGACGAATTTTAAATGACTTAAAAAAGACTAATTTGATAATCAATGCTATTGCCGTAAAATAAATAATATTTTGTAAACGTTTTAATCTACACGAAGAAGAAAAAATAAAAATCTTTAAAATTATTGAATTTTAAAATTACCTTTGATATCTGATGCGACATTTTGCTGTACGAGCAAGATCTTCTCGTAGTAAAAATTGTTTAGCACCCATACAATAATGACGCCAATATGAAAACCAATCAAGTTCTTTCAAATCGAAGCCAAATATCTATTTAAAATGAAAAAAATTCAGTTTAATTTTAATTTCTAATCTTTATTTACTTTTTGATCGATATCGCTCATTTCATTTTGAAGAGAAACACTATTGTCATTTGGAAATATCCATGAATTTGAAGTAAAAAAATCCAATGTTCGAACACTTTTATAAATCTTATCAGATAATTTTAAAAAGCTAAAAAGATTATTTATTTTTTGTTTCCGTAATAAGATATTAAATACTATTTACATTGGTTTACGTCCAATTATGCGCATATAACAATCGAGAAGAAATGCTGGAAATACTTCTTGTACTGTTCGAAGACAATGATATCGAAAACTAATTTAATCGAAAAATAAAACTACGATATTTATATCATTTTTATTTTACCGGTTTTCGGTAAATTGTAAATTTGGATAACGAATTGCACTTTCCAAACTGATTGTATCGAGATGATGTAAACCATATTCAGTTACTTTACCCCATGTTAATGTTCCCAAATGGCCAGTACAACAATGATAAACTGGAATAGTTTTTGGACTAAAAAATTTAATAAACATTGAACATTTCCTATGGTGAAATAGATATACTTACTATTTTACTGCTGTATGCCAAGCAATTGAAATCATCATGTTAACACAAATATCAACAGGAACAATATCAGCTATTGCTTGATCACTACCTATCATAGCTCGAAGCATACCTTTACCTGTCTAAAATATACAAACAAAAAAAATATTGTTTCATAATTTAAATTTTTTACTTACAGCAACAACTAATCCACTTGGACCGTTATAATTATCAACCCAGCCCTAAAAAAAACACTCACTAGTAAAAAGAAAATCTCTTTTCTTTCAAATTACTGGTATTGGTTCACGCCATGATGATCCAACAATAGATGGACGTATAATAGCTAATGGGAGATCTTTAGCTTCTTGTGAGATAACATATTCGGCAAGTGCTTTAGTGAATGTGTATGTATTGGGTCTATCGTTAATCAGTTTATTTGTCAATACATCAAATACTTGATCATCCATCCATTCACTAGCTTCTAATAATTTTCCTGGTTGAATCGGTGGTGGATAAATCATTTCAGCTACATCGTTACGATTACAATTTGCATAAGCTGTCGATACATGAACAATAGACTACAAAATCAACGAAATTAAATAAACTTGTTTATATCTTTTGTTTTTTACTTGTAATTTTTTCATTTTATGACATAAAGCAAGTAATTTTTTTATAGATGCAACGTTCATCTGTATTGCGAGTCTATACAAGAAAATAAAATCGATTATTGCTTATAACAATTGAAATTTTACCGAAGTGGTTCATGAAAACGAACAGTTGCTGCTGAATGAAATACAATATGGCATTGTTCAATTATAATACTTTCATCAGATGCACTAAGACCAAAATTTGGGTCAAGTATATCGCCTTGTAAAGCTGAAATTTTTTCTGCAAAATTTGGATTTATTTCTCGTACCGTATTAAATAACTAAATTAAATAAAAAAGATTTCTTTTCTTTTCTTTTCGTTTTTTAAATTTTTATTACAGGGCCTGCTACTAATTCTTTTACGCGATCGTTAACTGCATGACCTCGTTTTGGCCGTACAAGTAAATAAATATGTTCAATGTCTAAATTGATAAAAATTATCAAATAAATAAATAAATTATATTAATCAAATTTACCGGGACATGATCGAACAAGTTTCTCTACGAGTTGTTTTCCAATAAAACTAAATGAATAATTTTATTGTTTAAAAAATAACTATTATCATTTCTCTTACCCTGTTGCACCAGTAATAAAGATGGATTTTCTTTTAAAATATTCTATTATTGCACTAGCTTCTGTACTTGCCGACATTAGATATTACTAGTTTATCTAAATATTTAGAAGAAACAGACATATCACATGCTATTGTTGATCTTTCGCTTTTTTTTTATTAAATTTTTTTTTTCTTAGTCAATAGATATATATGAAATACGTAAATTTTCAAATACACACAGAAAAATTCATAGTCAGAATACAAACATTTTATCACAAACAGAAACTAAGATCGAGGTAATCCACTGAACAATATATGATTTGTAGTGATTTTTGACACAGTTAGTATCAGAATATGATCACAATACATGAAAGACATCAACATTTTGCTAGTTGAAACATAGAGGAGAAAAAAATGAAAAGAAAAGTTCTCGATTGAGATAATGAATAAATCGAACACAAAAGATAATACGTTTCAAAAGAAATACAATACAAATAATCATAATCAAAATGAAAAGAAAGAAATAAACAAGTAAGAGTATGAATATACTGAAACAAAAGAGGAAAAAAAAGTTTTCTAGATTATTCAAAGATAATAAGTATCACGTTTATGTCTTTTGTTCTTTAAGTTGTCTAAATTGATTATGAAATCATATCAAATAATAATAATAATTAATAACTACTCACTAATGATTATTTTAATCAAAAAGAAGAGTAAATGTTAGTAGAATTAATTATCTAGAAAATAAAATTTTTATTTTTATTAAAAAACTTTTTTATCGTTTTCTTACCGTCGGCTGTATCTGGCACTTGCTGATGGTGGTGTTAAACGTGTATCACGTTCTCGATAACGACGTTCATGTCCATTTGATCGTTCTGGCGGTGGATAATAACTATCCATATAATCATCATGTCGTCGGGAAAATGATGGATACACCGGCATACCATGACGAAAATAAGCAGGTGGTGGCAATGGTGGTGGTGAATTTGATGCACGAGACCTAAAGTTCCACATGAACCAAATCCAATTCCATTAGCATTTTCTTTTTAGATCTCTTTTCCAGTAGTAATTTTCATCCAAGTCATCCAAATCCCAAAGAAATCTTTCTGTGTTTTTTTTTCTATAACTTTCTTTTCTATTCTATTAAGTCTATCTCCAAAATATATTAATCAATACCAGTTATATAAAAATGTTAGGAACCAATTTATATATAGGCATACTGTCATTCAATATTAGTAACCATCCATACCTTGAATAGCGATTATTGTTTGGTGGTGGTGGTGGTGGTCGTCGATTATAATCATCATCACGACGACGCGATGAATGTCTTTCAGTTGCTGTACCATCACAATTACGACTATGAGATATAGAATAGAAAACTTCTCATTGATATATATATATTTTTCTATATTCTTACCCAAAATGTCCACGTTGTCCACATTTAAAACATTTCATATTTGGATCAAAACGTCGAGAACCATTACGAGCTCGTGGTCGAGCCCATGTTACTCGTACACGACTGCTTCCAAATGATCTGAATTTAATAATTATTATTGTATAAATGTTATTTTGTGTGTATATTAATAATCTATATTATACCTTCCATCCATTTGATCAATGGCTTTTTGTGCTTCTTCCTTAAGTTTATAAGTAACAAATGCAAAACATGATGCACTAGCAGCCCAAACATCAACCAATGTACCAAAACGTTGAAATACTTTTCGTATTTCACTTTCTTGAGCACCTTGTGGTAATTCAGCAATATGAACACGAAATTCATTGGGTCGATCGTTTCTACTATCATGTTCAGATGATCGTGAACGAGATCGTCGTCCAGATGATATTGGACTTCGAGAGCGTGATCGTGATCGTGATTGTGAACGTGAACGTGATCGTGTTCGAGGCATTTTTTTAGAGTAACAGAGGAAGAAATTAATTAAATACTAAAATGTAACGATAGATTAATTCATCATGATTAAATTGATTTATATTTATCGAACAAAGGCAAACATAGAACAAAGCACAAAGTCGAAATGAAATATACAAAGAAACGAATTAGAGAAATGCAGCACATACAACAACATAAAGAACGCTAAGCGATCGAAATTAAATAAACAGATCAACATAATGTCTTAGTTTTCTTTGTGAACGAAAACATCATTCTCTTGTAATCATTATGTTCGAGATGGACTAAAAGAAAAGAAAACAAATTTATATACATATATATATATTATTTAGTTTAAATGTCAATATTCTATTCTCTCAAATGATTTAATTAGTAACTAAAATCGATTGATAAGCATCATTTTGATCTTATAAATAAATATCAATCAAAATCTGTACCTTGAATAATAACCAGAACCGTTATCACGTGATTTATAATTTGATCGAGATGGTGGTGATCGACGAGGACTTTATTATAAATCAAAGATTCCTTTTTTTTGTTTAATATAAATATATAATTACCTATAACGACGATATTCTCGAATAACACGTGGACGAGGTGATCGAGAACTAAAAGAAAATATTCAAATAAATCTTCATAGAAGTTTTTCTTTTTTGTTCATACCGAGATTTAGAATAGGATCGTTCACGTCGACGTTCACGTGAACGAGATCTAAATAAAATCAAATTTATATCTCTTTTTTTAAAACTTTTGTTTTCTAATCAAATTAAATCTATTTATTTCTACTCATTGTAAAATAAAATTTCTCAACATTTTACCTTAATTTATTGTCAAATTCAAAACCAAACCCACGCATCTTTAATCTTTATCCCATCCAAGACCATATTGATGATCCCAGTGTGATATATGTATATACACGTATATATATACAAATATATACATGTATATTTATATTTTATTCTCTCCAATTGTTTCGGCCACTCCATTAATAAAAAAACTCACCGATATCCATTGCCAGATCTTTTTTTGTTTCGTTGTTCACTACCACAATCACGACTGAAATGACCTCGGCCACCACATTGATAACATCGCCTTTAATAAAAAAATAATTTTTTAATTATATGAACTTAAATTCTTCTTACTTATTCGGATCAAAATATCTTCGACCACTACCGCCGCCACTTGCACGAATACGTGGTCGAGCTAAAGTGACACGAACGCGTGCATCACCAATAAATCTAAATTAATTAAGTATATATATATTTTTTTTTCAAAATATACAATTCATATAAAAAATCTCTTACCGTCCATCTAAACCATTAATAGCTTGTTGAACATCTTCATGATTACGTAAAACAACAAATGCAAAACATGAAGCTTGTGCATGCCAAACTTCAACTATAGGCCATTTTTCAAATGCTTTTTCAATTTGACGTTTGGTACAATTTGATGATAAATCAGCAACATGTATACGACAATTATTTCCTTCATCATCTTCTTGATCATTAGAATTACGTGCTGGTGAACGTGAACGACGATAAGATGATATATTTGGTGAATTTGAACGAGAATGAGATTGTGAACGAGAATAAGAACGAGGCATATTGAAATTATAAGATATAGTATTGAGTTTTTCAAATCAAAACACTATTGATGTATAATACAAAGATGTTTGTTTTGTTTTTTTTTCTCTGAAAGAAGAAGAATGAGTGACAAAACAAATTATGAACCGTATTGGTAGAATTCATATTTATTGTATAGAGCGACAATTGAAATAGATATAATTTTTACTTCTAAATCCAAAGATTCTTTTTAGTTTAATTATTCCCAATTGATGAAGATTTATTATATTAATTTCAAATGATTTCAATAGATGGCGTTATTGTATAGATATACATTGGAAATAATTTTTCATAATCCGAATAAATTTTTATGTTATGACACGATATGAATGATAAATATATGTAAAGTGTCAAATGTTCTTCTCTTTTCAACATTATAAAAAATTCAGAAGAATAAAAATAAAAAACAAAGTAAATATAATCAAATTTAAATACGTGTATGAGTCATATTTCTCATAACTACGAAAGAAAAAGTATATTTCGTCTATAATTTTGTATTCATTTTTATCTGATTCAGTCGGTAAATACCATCTTGAATAATATTTAACATTAGTTGGAAGAAAAATTTTTCTTTTTGTTTTGTTTTCAGGGAAGAAAAAAAATACCGACTTTGTTTTTCTCTTATTTGCGTGACGACAGAATAGAAGAAGAAAAATCTATTTTATTTTAACGTTCTCTTCATTTATACTTGGTTAATTCCTATTTTTACGTCTCGAACACGAGAGAGAAAACTACGTAGAATAAAAATAATCGTCATTTTATCTGTGAAGCAACAGTAGGAAAGGTAAGAAAATTCATAATTTTCTTTTCTTAAAAATGAAAAGATTCAATACAATAGAGTCGTAATATATGTCGAATCACTCATCTGCACAAAATACAAGCTTTTTCCAACCAGATCGAGCTCCATTTGCACAGGGACAACATAATCAATTTGCTCAGTTTACGGCTGCAGCCAGTCACGGCTATCAACCACGACCACAAATGTCTGCAACAACGACTACATCCGCAGTTGTACCTCGTCCAACCGATACACCTTCCCAAACCAACAAACTATTTCCACCACCAGATATTACAGTTGCTGCTTATTTATCACAATTAGATAAACAACAATATATAAAACCATTACCACCACAACCGTTTAATTTAGAAAAGGTTAAAGATTTTAAATTTGTGACGGCCGATAGTCTCGTTCTTGAGACACGTGAAATTTATGATAAAGTTAGTGACACATTTCAATGGGAAATGTGTTTAAGTGAATCAGATCGTTGTATAAAATTTATTCAAGAAAAATGTGCTAAGAAACGAGTATTTTTGGTAACATCTGGCGGATTAGGACATATAATTATACCTGCAGTCCATGATTTACCACAAGTATATGCTATTTATATTTATTGTGGAACTATGGAATTTCATTTGCCATTACAATCGAAATATTCGAAAGTTCGTGTTGTTTGTAGTCATGATGACCAATACTTAATACCTCAACTTGCTGTTGATGTTGCACAAGCTAATATTGATTGGGGTGATGCACTTGTTGCCAAAGGTGATCGTGCGACAGCTAAAGAAAAATTCGAAAAGGCATTGACAAATTTAGAGCAATACGCAAAAAAACCTGATCCAACTATGATAGCTCAAGTTAAAGCAAAATTAGAACAATGCAAATAACTTGCATCTTACAAAAACTATATTTGTGTTTTATATTATTATATTATTTGCAGTTTTTTTTTGTTTTTCTTTTATAAACACATGAACATTGAATATATAGCAAGTATTGTTTTTCGATGATGTATAATTGAATTATTCCATTGAACAAAAAGCCTATATTTCAATATACCTCTTTCACGAAGCAATGAATATCATCACACTAATTATTAAAGTATTACGATAGCTGAAGAAAGTCTATTGATAACCACAATACAGAGACTATCTGTTCTTATTCAAATTCCTTTCTCGTAGAATGAAGTAACTGATTTGTCTCTATATCATTTTGAGTCCTGTATATTAATGAAGAAACGAGAAAGAGTTTGATATTTTTCATGTCTAACAAATTACCAAACTCGAATCATTTTATCTTGTCAAAGTTCATTTAAAATATATATATATAATTATTCGGCATCTTCGAATAAATTTTCATGAAAGAAAAAGACAAGCATAATTACAAAGTTCACATAGTTTCTCTTTTTTGTCTGTTTGTCGTCATCTCTATGCTCGTATGAAATATTTATAATGGAACACGAGCTCATCATCACACACATACACACATACAAGTGCATGTAAAAAACCGAGAGAAATAAAGTCAGACATACACGCACACACATACATATCACTGCTTTGACGTTTTCGAGAAAGAAAAAAAAACAGAAGATAAAGACAGAGTCCAACAAAGACAGAAGCAAAAAGAAAACAAGAGAGAGAAAAAAAATACACATGTGCAAGAAGATAAACAAAAGAAAAAGAAAAGATTAACATATGTTAAGTTTTATTTATTTTTTTTCTTCTTCTATGAGATCGTCGTTGATAGGAGGAATCATGATAATAATAGTGATGACGATGACGATGATGATGATGATAAAAACGACAGATAACAACAATACGAGTATTTTAGTTTTTCTCATATAAATGAACAACAAAAGAGAAAAAAACGAAAAGAAAGAAACAACAATACATTGACCTAATATTTAATCATAGTTCATTCGAATCATTTTTTTTCCTTTATTTACGCAGATCGAGTACGCACACCTTAAATAAGAAAGACAAAACAATATAGTTGAAAACATAAAAGATTGTTTTTTATTATAATTCAATGAAACTTACTGTTCCGTCGGAAGCACTTGCACCGACTCGAGTACCTCGACTGTTCCAACAAACTTCAAAAATACCACCAGTACCTCGATAACTATGAACAATTTCCGCTCGCTAAAAATAAAATTAAAAAAGTAAATATTAAAATATTTCATTTCAAATTATTTACCGCAATATCCCAAATATAAATTGTTTTATCAAATGAACCAGTTGCTAATAAACGACCATCGGGACTAAATGAAACTGAATAAACAGGTTCTGAATGTTTTACAAGTGTACTCTGACAAACACCACGTTCAACATCCCATAAACGTACAGTTGAATCAAATGATGCACTAAAATAAATTAAATTTTATTTTTTTTAGATTTTCACATTTTTATTTTATCTAACCTTGCCAAGAGCAAAGTTGCATTTGGATTCATTGTTCCTGGACCAGTTGGACTCCATTTAATTGTATAAATTTCTTTATTATGTGCTTGTAAATTATGAACAGGTGTATCTTTTGACATACTCCAGATCTAAAAGCAAAAACGAAATTAAATTTAATATAACAAAAAGATTCTTTATATATATATATATATTCTTATTTACCTTTAATGTCATATCATCTGAACATGATGCAAGTAAACGTCCTAGAGGATCCCATTTAATTGCATTAACTTCATTTTGATGTCCATGGAATGTTTTAACAGGTTTTGCTTCATTCAAACGACAAACATGAATTTTTTGATCTGTTGAACATGATGCAAATGTTGTATCTGATTGCCAATCAACATCAAGTGCTGGTGCTGTATGAAATGAAAATTGTTGTTCACAATGGCCAGAACTTGCATCCCATATAATTGTTGTACGATCAACACCAGCTGATAATATATAATTACCCTTTTTATTCCATTTTAATGCAAATATTGGTCCTTTATGTTGACCAAGTGTACTAACTAAATTTCCATCAGATGACCATATACGTGCATAACCATCATAACTACCCGTTGCTAATTGTGTACCAGATGGCTATAATGAATATAAAAGAATAATAGACAATAAAAAATTTCGATTTTTATTAACTTACATTCCAATCTAAACTTGTAACATCTTTATTACTTGGTACTTGAGTATCACCACGTCTAATACAATGTCGTAAAACAATTTCAGGTTCACGTGTACCTTGTAAATTCCATATACGTGCTGTTGAATCACCTGAACCAGATGCTAATAAATCATGTGTTGGATTCCATGCACATATAAATACTTCAGATTCATGACCACGTAAAACAGTAACTCGATTACTTGGAATTTCAATAGAACCATTGGTAATTAAATTATTATTATTATTATTATTATTATTATTTGATGAACCGGTTTGAACAGATAGAGAATTTGGCGTTGGATTTCGTGCATAATGAGGATGATGATGAGGATGATGAGTATTATTACTTGTTTCATAATCCATTGGTTCATGTTTAGGAACTATAGAATTTAATAAAAAATAAATTTATTTAATGTTAGTTGTCGTTTATAGAAGTTTTCATGTCTTTTTTTTGTACCTGCTATATGATTTGTATTGTTAGGATACGATGAATGTGAAGAATTGTCATTTCCGTTTGACATTTGACTATAATTGCCTGCTGCTGAAGGGTGAAGTGTGTTAGGATGTGATGATGATGACGGATGGTAATGATGTGATTGACTGGTTGATGATGAATTTGAATGTCCTATTAATATATATATACAGAATCATAGATATTGACTATATATATCTATAAAGAAATTACCATAATTCATTCCACCATTAGGTGTTGATGATGTATCTATATTACGCTCAGATATACTCTGATTTGTTGATTGTGGTGATGTGTTGGATGGTGGATGTACTGATGAAAGATCTTTATCATTAGTATTTGATAAATTCGATGCAGCTGATGCTGTAGTTCTTGAAGATACTTTTGCTTCAGTTTTTATAGATGTTCCAGATGATGAGGAAGAAGATTGTTGTTGTTGTTGTTGCTGCTGTTGCAGAAGTTCTTTACGACGATTTTCGACAATCTCAGGTACAACAGCATCGATTAAACTCAAACTATCGCATGTTCGTTCCTGACCATCCTTTAAATGATAAAATAAAGATCTATTTAAAATATTGTTCTAATATTAAATGATTTACAACTGATTAAAATTTTATCATATAATAATATATAAAGTTGATTAAAGAGTATGATTCTTAATTATACATAATAATAAGACTTATAAAATGGATAAAAATTAAAATATCATAGAGATTTTATGTTCATTGATTCAATTTAATTTTAATCTCGACTATTAGCTTTAATTCTCTTCATACTGATCTTTTGTATCTAATTCATTAGAAAAAAAATCTATGTTTATCTCTTATTTAGGATTATAAGAAACGTGATTTTCTTTGATGACATCCTATAGTTTTTCTGCGTAAACGTATTTATAAGATATAATAATGATAGATAGTCTATGACAAGAAATATAATTTCAACTTACGTCTCCAATCGATAATTCTGCTTCAGTGTAATAAAGACCCTTTTGTATAAGTGATAACAGGGCACCTGGTGGTACAATATTAGCATTAATTGATGTTTGAACAATGTGACTTTCAAGACCAAATAAATAAGATGAATGAACAAATCCTGATTAACAAAAAAAATAAATAAAAAATAAATCAAGAATGTAAGTCATTTAATCATAAGAAAATGCTTTCTATTTTGGAACGTGATCATTTTTGTTTATTCTTATGCAAACAGATAAATAAATATACTTCATTTTATTCAATGATTATTACTAAAATACTGAAAAATACCAAAATACTTTCGACTAGTCATTACTATATATTTTTTTATATACGCATTATCATTAGATAATCGTTGTTATTTTGATAAAATGCCTGTCAATCTCAAAGGCATATGATTAAATGTATGTTGTTATAAAAATATGTGATAGTTGCATATAAACCAAAAATCAACAAACTGTCACTACGTTAACCATCATTATCAAGGGTGTTTGTTTGTTCGTCATACGACCTCAATTTCATTTCTATTCTTTTCATAGAAAAAAAAGCACTTGCATTATCGAGGGCGACAATAACATATCAGACGACAGTAGAAGAAAGAAAGAAAAAGAAGAATCCAATTTGGATGCTGAAGCACATAGCTGGATAACACATATGACAATAACAAAAGAAGTTGTAAAAGAAGAAAAAAAAATAACAAGAAATTCAATTAACTAAATATAGAGTTATGAATACAAGAAACTATTTATATACTGACGTCATATCAACTAGAGGTCAAAAGATAAATTACATTGAATTTACATTAAAAAGGTTCTTTTATATATATATACATTTTAAATAGGTAGCTCGTCAAGGATAAACTATATAAAAAATAATCAATCCATTATTATTACATAATTACATTTTTAGATTTTTCTCTTTTTTAACATAGTTACCTTTTTTTATGAATAAACATACTTATCTTTCAAGATTTTTATTTATTTATTTTTTCCTTGATTTACTAACTATTCTACTTATCTTACATATGATAAGAAAAAAAAAGTACTATGATAAAAATAAAAGGTCAGAAGAAAGAATTTTTCAACTGATCATAAAATAATAATAATACCTGATTCTGATAAATATCGATAGATGAGATAATTGACTTCGTCTGATGTAAAACTCATTCTCGCATTCTATACCTCGCCTTAATATGCGAGTATAATTAAATAATATAAATTAATAAATAAATACAGTTTGTCGACGATAATCTAGAATAAATAGAAAAAGAAATGTTAGAACAAAATATTTTAAATAATTAGTTAATTCAATGTAGAATTATATATATATATAGATATCTTCTTTTTTTTAAATATTCTTTTTTAACTACCTTTTTTTTCCTCGATGTCTCCTTTTCATCACTTATTCAACTCGCATTACTGTGAGAATAAACGTGTCAAGCATTAGATAGAAGAGAACACACGCGTGTCCATACATGTTGTAAAGACACGATGATGGCGACGATGATGTTACGAACATATAAAAAGAAGAAAAAAAAAAGTAAGAAAAGAAAATTTGGCAACTACCAATGTAAATAAGTTGTGTATATGACTCATGCACAGTATACGTATGGTATTTCTTTTTTCTACCTATTTTATCGAATAGAATCGATAGATATTTAAGCAATTATCAATTCGATGATTATTATGCATGATATAATCGACTTGACGGTGTCTTTTATTTACGAAACTATGTCATTTCTACCTTTACAATCAGTAAAGCACTCTAAATATCTGTAACGTAATTTGTCATGCAATATATTTTTTAAGGAAAATTTTCAAGTAAATAACACAGGTCATACAAATTTATAACCTCTAAATACTTCATAATTGTATGATCAATTGAATAATTAAAAATAAGAAATGAAGAAAAAGACTCTTTAAATGTGAAAAAAACATTGCACACATTATTATCTCGGCTTTTGACAATGACATAAACAGTAACAGTAGAATGAATATTCTAGGAACATCCAATTATAAGAGAAAAAAACTAAAGAGAAAAGTAATGTCATATGAGATATTTCATAAAATAAAGATTAACTCTTTAATCAACTAACTGACAAGTTCTAAAAGTATTTCTTCTTTGTCTCATTTTTGATCGCAAAGAAAAAATTCTCAAACCTACTTCTTTTATGTCGTATTTCTTTCAATCATACGCATATGGTTTCTCGCGTAACAAGAACAAACAAACGTGTTCGTTTCTTCTTTTTACTAGCGTAAACAAGGATCAAGTTGACTACTTCTCTTTTTCATCTTTCTATTGATAACCTATCAGCCTTCATATAATACACTAATATGAGTCAATAGACGCATGTAGTTTTTTATAATCTGAAAAGAAACCATTGTTTTGAAAGAGTGCGCATAGTAGACGAGGTTTTTGCATCTATAATAAATGCAAATTGCGTGTTTTAATTCTTTTCATTACCTACAACCATTTTCTAGATTGTTTAAAATAAGAGTACACAAACGACCCCAACGTTCTTTTAGTAAATTATTTTTTTTAAGAAGACATTAATCTTATGATTACGACGACACATAGCAACAGACAATAAAAAAGAAAGATAATAGTAGAACTTATCGTGTCACACCATACTTAATTAAACAATTCATATAATAATGGATATTTATTTTCGAAATGTATCAGACGCAAATATATTATTTACAATAACACTATTTATGATATTGATTAAATTTGTACTTAAAATAAATGAACTCGGATAAGTTTAAGATTTCTTTTAGGTTTCTTTATAAGATGACCTTATGTCTTCATAGCACATAAAAAAGAGAAGAAGAATGTATAAAATTTGTTTTTCATCAACAGGAGAAAAACATAAGAAGTATATGAAATATGAGTTGAAGTTTTATAAATTTTATTGAATGTACTTATATAAGAATCTTGTTCTATTAATGAATAGATTTATATGAAAAAAATTTTATATATTCAAATAAATACCTTTATATCTGTGAATAATGTCGAATACAAAAGAAAAATATTTAATAATAATTGTAAGTAATATAAATCGATAAATTATAATATAGTAACATAAATTTTTAAAAAAAAAACGTAATATAATTATCGAAGAGATTGAATATTATTTTAATGTTCTGAAAAAAGACACAAAAATATACAATGTGTGAACTCAACGTCAGTAAATATGTAAGAAAGAGAATGAAGAAGAAAAAAAAATAGTTTGCCTCAAACAACACACGTGTATGGTTGGTAGTGATGATCATAGTGTGCGAATATAAAGCGCACTCTTGGTCTGTTTAATGTCCTTCTTTTTTTTTTCCTTCTACGTTGCCCGCTTCGTCCCTACACTTATACACATATTCCCTCCCACCATCAGTTGCGCACCCTTATTCGCATTTTTTTTTTCTACTCGTATATGCGCGTGTGAAAGCTGCCGGGCATGAAGCAAAAGCGCGCTTGTTTTTTCCTTTCTTTCTCTTTTTCTCTCCTTTTTTTCTTCTCTCTCTCTCCCTCTTTGTCTCTCTCTCTCTTTCGCTTTGCTATGCGACCTTATGGTTGAATACGACGTCGAGCAAGTCTGCTACTACCGCTTTTCAGAGCAAGAGAAGAAAAAAACGGAAGATAAAGATGGCATGTCTGCATAATCATATCTAGGTCATTGGATACGATGACGATATGATAACAACGACATTCACAGAGAAAAAGGAAAATAAATATAGCATAGAAAAACATTTCTTAGATAATAGATAATTAAATAAGTTCGATTATATTAACAATTTATCGAAAGGAAATATATAGATAGATATATATATATATCTTTATATACAATAAAACTAGACAGCTGATGGCTACATGCCAAGCCATCACGACCGTTATGAGTCATGCATTATTATTTCTCTGTTCTTTTTTTTTCTTTTTTCATTCACATTCCCTCGAGCGATTGCACTACGATCTCTTTTTATTATACTAACACAACAACTATTATTACCTCGACGGACATGCTTAAATAAATATAATATATATATGTAAATGGATGTGTAACTTCACGTTCATAGTTATAGTGTGTATTATCGAGGCCATCTATAGAGAAAAAAAACAGCTGTTTTATAGAAAATACACAAATACACACACAGTTTACAAAGTATTTTCTTAATATTAACATTTCGGAAAAAACAACAAAGCAAATATTATTTTCCTTTAATTAAAAATACTAACCGTAATAAACGATTAATATGAAAGTATGCAATTTCGACTTGTAATATACATGAATATACTTTTGCACGAAAAAAGAACGCATGTGATATATAACATTTAAAAGTATATTTATTAGTGCAGACACACCTGAAGCAGTCATTAATATTTTTAATCTCTATATAAAATCAAAAATGACTGGTAGTGATTATAGCTAAGAAAAAATATCAAGGCGATTGCTAATAACGCGTCAGTAAAATATAATATGACGGCTTGTAGTTATATATGAAAAAAAACGGAAATAATATAGATTTAAGATCAAAATGAATAAGCAAGTCATTATTAAATACTTGTTTTGCTAATTGCAATATTTCTTATGGAATTGTATTCATTTCTTTTGAAAGAATATTTCTGACATTATACGGTCTATGAACATTCTATTGAAATGGATTTTTATATAGAAATAAATTACGTATCTTTATATAATGGAGTCTAGAATGAAATATCTCGTTTTTTTCTCCTACTTAAAAACATTATTTTTATACTAAAGTACAATTGTTTTATCATGTTTAACTACTTTCCTCTTGAAAAGAAAAAAATAGTCTGAAGTTGAAAAAACGTAATTCCGTATATCTATAATATTTTAGTCACAAACATATCTACATCATTTCTTACATAACTATTTTCGAATGGTACATTGCTATAAAAAAACAGTCCTTAAATTTACGTGCAGAAATTTTTAATCGACGAAATATGGTCAAAAGTATTTTATACTTACGTTGTATCACAAGAAAAATAGAATATAATCAATGGAAATGTTTCTCTAATGTTAAAAATTACTAGTTTTATACTATGAGTAGAAAACGTATAGTTCAAAGAATATTATATAAAGAAATGTTATCTTTAGCCTAATTTATTATGTTAAATTAAAACTTATAATCTTTTTTTCTATATGATATTTCTTTAAATAGATAGTAAATTTTTAATTAATGAAAATGATTCTAAGATTATGTCGTAGTAATATAATGACATGTCTTAAAATAGATGTAACATATATATAAGAATAATTCAAATATTTATTAATAAAAGATTTATTTTGATTTTCTTATTGTTAAATATACGAAAAGAAAAATAGAATTTGTTTAGTATCAGTTACTAAAGTTTTGATTTCATTTGATAGAACATAATATTATGTATGATCGATTTATTTATCAAGTACAGAAATATTGTTATTTCAATCGTAGATAATAATATTCAAGTTATAAGAAAGAAGATTTATATTGAAACATTAGTTTTTGAAAAACTCATCTTTGAGAGCACTTAGATTGTTGATGATAATGTACTGTTCGACCAGTCTTGCATTTCATTACAACATTATTAATAAATAGTGCATTCGAAACATTTTAGAAGCCACTTTAATAATAATAATCAAATCACGATTGAATTTTATATTTAATTAAGGATCGAATTGCGATCATATCGATTGGACAGACTCTATTCGTCATATATTTTATCTTCATTCACCTGTATATTACGTGCATAAATTATATTCATTCATACGTTTAATAAAGCAAATAAAAACTGACTCATAAAAATTCGAAACAATTTTTTATTACTTGATAAATGTACTTATGACAATTTGAGCAAATAGAATAAGACTCTTTTGCATTCTGAAGTACTTTATAAAAAAAATTCATTTCAATATAAAATTTACATCTATAGTATATATATATTATAATCACTATCTGTCTGATCCAATTCATTTATTAATCTAAATTTCGAACAAAAGACAAATATCTTTTGTTTTCACATACAAAAATAACACAAGGAAAACGAACGTGAGGAAAGAAAAACTGACCATAAAAAAGTGAAAGAAAGAAAGAAAAAAAAACTCAGGTTAAAAAGGCTAAATAAACAATAGACAAAGTTTGTTAAAAAAAAACAAACAAGCAGACAAACAAACAAACAAACAAACTAAAGAAAAACAAAGAAACGTCCTCCTTTCAAAGATCTATCCTAATAAACAAATTATTTTACAACCGGTAGAATAATTCCCCATGCGCATTTTAAATAATTATCAGTCATTCTCAAGGACGGACATCTTAATGCGCAGATAGAATTATTATTATTTATTTTTTTTTCTTCTTGTCTAGATAAAAGGAGAATGAATAATAATAATAATATATTTTTGTATATGTATATGTATAGATATATAAATATGTATTTATATAATGGAAGGATATCTACATTAGATTTAAACTTTTTTTTTATGACCACGAAAAAGTCTTTCAAAAACGTTCATTTTTTTGTTTGTATCATGTTTATCGTTGGGAAATGAAAGTTCATTCAAAATATTTTCTGTTGATGTTTTAAGAGTTGAATTTGTTGACGAAAGTTTTTTATTCAACTCATTTTCATTATTTATAAGTGTATAATTACTATCACTTGTTGGTGAACGTGATAAGTTTGTTGTTTGTTGTTGTTGTTCGAGTTCTTGCTGAGATTCACAATTATATGTTAATGTAGAATCATTTATTGGACTAGTTGATGATGATGGACCAGATATAAGACGTTTATTATCATGTTTAGCTGGTGCAAAAACTGATACAGGAATATGTCGGCGTTGACCAGGTGGAGAAAGAAGACGATGATCATCAGAACGTTTGGATGATCTAAATAGATACATAGAAATGATTGGTTAAAATTTTCCGATTAGTGTAACAAGATAATATTTAAATTTTGGCTTCATTGTTTTTACAAAGCGGGCTTCTCCTTTTTAATAGAATTAAAATATTCTTATTAAATACATATATATGAGTTCAGACTACTTAAACTCAGACTTTTTTATCAAGTGTTATAAAATTTAAGTGATTATTATTATGAAATAGCCTTGCTTTAATAGATAAATAACTTAGAAGTACTATGAGTTCTTATTCTTTACAATTCTATAGACTCTGTTGATTTTTGTTACGTCTATACTTATTTCTTTGATTCGGTTTTTTTCTCTCTCTCTCACCTATTAAGATCAGTTCCAGATGCATTTAAATCTCGTCGATAAAGATTTGCTGCTGTTGATACTGGTACTTTTGTACGTGACATTGTATTTGTTACTGATGATGTTGATGCTGATGTTTGAATATTATTATTTGTTGGGTATCGATGAACAGGAATTAATGTTCGGGTTTTATTATCAATTATTTTTGGTTGATAATTATCACTAATTGTCATATTTTCATCATTTTCTGTATCAACTATACTTCCATTTCCATTTCGTGTTCGAATTCCATTCGTATTTTTTGTATTTGTTGGATGATGTCCATTAGGTATACGTTTTGCTGCTGTTGTGGTTGAAGTTGTTGATCGATCTGAATTCGTATAACGAGGTGTAGATGGAACACGTGGTGGTTGAGTAGGATGACGAGAATGAACTGATGTGAATTTCGATGCTGGAACTGTTGTTGGTGTACTATGATCATCATAATCATGTGTTGGACGATTTACATTATGCATACGATTTTGAGCATTTTTTAATCGTGCACGACCATCAACAGATCTTGAACGTTGACATTTACTTGAATTATTTGCTGCTGTTGATAATGATCCTTGATTAGTTTCAAGGGTTATTGTATCTTCATAATCAATATCTTGTGTTTTTAAATTATTTAGTTTATTTCGTTGTTGTTGTTGTTGTTGTTGTTGAGAAGTTTTATTAATTAAATTTGCACATAAATTTGAATTTGATTTCGATAATGAAGTTTTAGCTTTATTCGTTGTTGTTGTTGTTGCTGTTGGTGTTGTAGTAGGAAGACGATGAAATACAGAATCACCTGTTTGACTACCATTACTCGGTGTTGTTCGACCTTAAAATAAAAAAAAAATATGAATACTTTTAAATAACTAATATTTCTTTGTTTTTCCTTACCTGATGGTAATTGCGAATTATCAGGTGATACTTTTTTATTTAATTGTATATTGTTTCGCGGAGATGCTGGAGGTAAACGTTGTTGTATTAATCGTATTTGATTAACACTATCTGATGATGTTGTACTTGATGTTGATTGTGCACGATGACGTAAATAATCATCTTCTTGATATTGATGAAAAGAATCTGATGGCATAAAATGATGATTTGGTGGTCGAAAACCATTTGATGTTGATGAATATCCATAATGAATATATCCATTATTATTATTGTTGTTGTTGTTGTTATTATTGTTATTATTATTAATATTATCCGATTGATATTCTTGTTGATCCTGATAAAGATCACGTTGTCCACGTGGTGGAATTGCCGGTGGTTCATCTGAAAAATTCACATAAGTATTTGTACCTGAATATGCATTTTGATTTTGAGGATTAACAAATAAGGAAGTTACATAACCACTACCAATATTTGTGTTATCATGATAAATATCATCGTTACGCATTTGTCGACGACGTCCAATTATTGATTGATAACCAGAATTTATATTGTTTGCTGGTATTGTAGCACGATTAAAATTTGTATATGTGTCATATTGTTGAGAATCAGCTGGATAAAATGGTTCATGACTTCCTTGACGTAAATATTCACTTGAAAATTGACGCGGTATAGGATTGGCATTTTGTTGATGTTGAGACGTACTCATAAGACTATTTTGCATTTGTGAATTAAAACGTTCAAGTGCTCGTCGAACACTAAAATGAAGAAAAAAATTTTTTTTTTGTCTTTGCTTATTTTATTTAAACTTACATTGGATCATCAGAATAAGGTGCTTGATTAAGATTATTTGATGTGTACATTGAATTATACGATGGTATAGGTAATGATTGTTGAGGATAATAACTATTATTTGTTGAAGGATGAACAGGTACAAATGCAGATGATGATGATGGAGTAGAATATTGACTGACATTTTCTTGTTGTATTGGTTGTTGTTGAAAATTTCTAGGAGAATATTCTAGCCGAGTTGGTTCCATTGATTGAGTTCGATGTGGACGTACATATTCACAACTATATGCTGAATATGTTTGTGTTGGTGTTGCATAATTAACTGATGCTTCTTGTGTTCGAGCAAAATTTGGATCAATAGTTTTAATTATTGTGTTTGGTAATTGCATAGCAAGTTCATTTAAACTAAAATCATTTTGTATTGCTAGTTCTTGTGGTGGTAGTTCATTGGATGAATGATTTCGTTGTAATTGAGATGTATCATTAATATCAAGATTAGTTACTTGACCAATAGAAAGATCTCTTGATGAAAGCATATCTTCAGAACGTGAACGTTGACGAGCATTAATCGATTGTTGTGGTTGTTGTTGTTGATTTGATGTAACATAAACTGGTTGTGTTGGTACACGCATTGTTGGTATATCTTGTTCATTATTTGTACTAAGATTATTTACATATATTTCTGGTACATCAGATGATGATGATGATGTTGAACAAAAGCGTTGATGTGCAGATACATGTGATCCTTTGGGATTTGCTAATGAAGATAATGATGTATCAGGATAACGTGCTAAACGATTATCATTAGCTGTTTGTAATGAACCAAGTGTATAACTATTTGTATAGCATGCGTCATTTGTATCATTACTTGTTGATGTAGGATTGAATGGTGTATTTCGTTTTAAATTTGTTTCAAGTCTCATTAATGCACGTCGTGTAATAGGATCTTGTATATCATCATAATTCGTAGGTCTTGATTGAGACAATGAACGACTCTTTTCATCAAATCGTTCAAGTGCACGACGAATAATTGGATCTTGTAGATCATCTGGTCTAATAGTATATTCATTTTGAAACTGTTCTTGTTGTGCTGAATCATCGTATTCTTGACTTTGACGATATTCACGAATACGTTCTAATGTATTTAGACGACGACGACTTTCGAGTTGATGACGATAAGGTGTCAGTGATTGTTGTTCAGCAGATATTGATGATAATGATTGTGATACAATTGTATTAGTTGAATCATTTGTTGATGATTGATCCAATACTTGAAGAGCAGATTCATTCGAATCTTCTAGTTCATTACTTGTACCACTTTCATTTGCCATTGATGATGAATTAAGTATCAAGGTTTGTTGTTCTCGTTGATAATCTTCCGAGTCAATATTCTTCGTTAGCTCGTCTGCAATAACTAAAATAAAAGTATAATAAGAAAGAATTATTATAATATATACAATATATATATATAAAGAGAGATTATATAATTATATTAATTGTATAATAAGAAGACCACATGAAGAACCTTGAAGTTATATTCTTTCACAATTCAACCATATAACAATCATAAAAAAAGAGGAGGAAAAAAAATGATCGATTTTATTCTGATTATGTTTATTATTTTCATCTATAGTAGTTGCACTGGTAGCCAATGGTTTCATATTACTCTCCTCGCTTTTATTCATGAAAAACGAAGGAGAGAGAGAGAGAGAGAGGACGAGAGCGAAAGAGATTTGATTGCTGCTATTGTGGTTATGATAAAGGCGAATACCGTACAAAGCAAATATGAACTTTTTCTGTTGCTCTAAGGCTCTATGTGTACGCATTTATGCTCTCCCACTTTCTTTTTCAAATCATCAAACAAATCTCTTTTCAATGTATTCAACTTTGGTAGCGATTGGTCACTTGATGAACAAGGCAAAAATGGAGCAACCTTGATGAATGTTTTAAAATTGATTCATAAACATTAGTATTGAATATGAAATATTTTTCTTTCTTATACAAACGAATTGGTTTCTTTTTTCTTTTTTTCTAGAATCTTAAAACGATATGACACATCAAGAATTTATGCTGATGTAATATACTAAATAAACTAGTAGGTCAGCCATCAACATTCTGGAAGAGAAAAGAGAAATGACAAAGCTGGTTAGGAACAATGAAATGTATAAGTGTGGCTGTTATCACTTCATTTTAGTTCTAATATGTAATATATACTTGTCTAACATTATCAAGAGAATTGAGAAACAGCTGTTAGTTACGTCGTACTCACTTCGTTTATCGTCATATTCTGCCATAGCTATTGGCTGCTGTTGCTCTTCTGATTTATCATTATGATCATTGATTGTATTGCTTGAAACTGTATTGTATAAGTTCATTGACATACCAAAACTAAGACCCACTTCATCAAGCATTGATTTTCGTGGTCGAATAAAAGTATCACGATGACGTGGTGATATTGATTTTGTTGTTGTTGTTGTTGTTTCTTCATTAGTTGGAACAGTCATAGATGTTACTTGTGGATAATTTTTAAATAAATTTTCTGCTGATTTTCGTGGTGTTGAACCTGTACCTGACCATGATGATTTACCTCGACCAGATAATGTATTTACATCATCATTAGTAGTTTTAGCAGCAACAGCAGCATTCATACGCTGTTCAAAACGTTGTAATGCACGTAAAGCAATAGGATCATCTTCAGGACGTCGAATACGTTCTGATATTGGTGATATTTGTGGTTCTTTCAATAGTGGTATATCAGAAACTTTTGTTGAATCATCAATTGTATCAACAACTTTTGAGAGAATTTTTTCATAACATGATAAAACCGTATCATATTTTAAAGGATTATCATTAGTAGTAGCTGTCGTATTTATTTGTCGAGATGTTTTAAGTTCATCATCGGTAAGAATATAATCAGTTGGTTCAATTAAATGATTATTTTGTGTTAATAGAGTTTCTTCTTCATCGGGTATTTCTTCAATTTCAATTGTTTTGTATCGTTGTTCAGTATCATCAATATTGACCTTTATCATTTTTTCTAAATTATTTGATAAAATCTCCATTGGACATTTATCTTCAGGTTGTTGCTGATTACATTGGTCTGGTGTTAGTAACGGTATTGATGGTTGTTCTTTTTCTTCTTGTTCTAATACGAGTGTTTGTATCGGCTCGTCGTTTGTTAATAATATTCCCGACGCGTGATAATCGGGTTCAACATTAGTGTTGTTCTCTTGTTCTATATCAACGTTGTCGTTGTGATAATATGCTTCTTGTTGTTGTTCTTCTTCTTCATCTTTTTTTTCTTCTTCTTCTATTTCTTTTAATAATAACTCATTAGGCTTTATTTCATTTGAATTTATCATCGAAGATGATGTAGAAGAAGAAGAAGAAACTGTTGAATTTGAAGTACATACATCAGGTATAACTATAGAATTATTATTTTTCTCTTGACCTATATCATTATTAATATTTTTCATTAATTCTTTTTCATTTTTATTTAATATTGTTGGACATAGTTCGTCTTTATTTTCTATTGTCATATCAGTTTTTAATAATATTGCATGATGTATTGATGATGATTGTTGAATAGTATTATTATTATCTTCTTGATTTATTATTGATGAAACATCTAAATAAAATAATGATATCAATAGTAAACAAAAAACCTATAGGATAAATTGTTAGCCATGTGTCATCCTAAGGGTTAGATAACTATCAATGAAGCGAAAAACTATGTAATTGATGACACATCATATCGAAGACAAGAGTAAATGAAATAGATGTAATAAAAAAGAATTTTCTTGGCCTCGGTTTTTTTTTCTCACATATATAACAAGTTTCTTTTTTTTAATGAAATTTTAATTGAGAATAATGAAAAGACGTATCTTTCTTTTCTCATTTTTTTTTGTCCTAATTTTTATTATAGTCATATATATATATATTATTATAAAAATTTTACCATTTAATTGTATATCATCTAGTTCGGTACATTTTGTTTTGTCGATAATAGGTACTGTTGTCGTTGATGGCGGCGTTGATGTATTGATCTCCTGAACATTTAAAAAGAAATATACGATCAAAAAAAAAATTGATTGATCTTTTAGATTTTTCTTTTTATTACGTATTTATAACATTAAAGAAAGAAATACATAGAATAATGACTGTTAGCAGTAGTAGCCAAATGAATAAAAATTACTTTCTGTCTGTATTATTATACAAACATTCGAATGACACGTTATAGTACTAGAGAAAAGTGTCGCTGAAAATGATGACATGGTTCTTTAGCTACAAATGAATATTTATTTTTACGATAGATTCATGCAATGACCTCGTGTATATATGAAGAGAACGACAGAGCGAGAGAGAGCAACGACGACAAACTAACCTCATTAAATATGATAAACATAACAAATATATTCCTCGTCTCTTAAATATAGCAAATCTTATGACTTGTCACGAAATACTTTTTTTTTTTATATGAAGATATCAAATCTTTTATATTCTTTTTTTTTTATTTAAATGTCATATTTACACTATTAGTATTCATCATGAGATCTATAGATATTATCATGTTGGATTCTCAATCATCTAATGAAATTTTATGCATTTGAGAAGAGAGAAAAAAAATTGATAAAATCTTGTCAATACAACACGACACTATTGAATAGTCAGTTTGAATTATCTGATAGTTATATACTGAACAATAGAAATAATTAATAGTAAAGGCTATATTTTTGTCATGATAAGTTTTACTCTTCAATAGTATAGAATTTTATAAATTATATAGAACACAATTGAAAGAATGTCTTTTCTATTATGTTAATCGAATAGTTTGATTACATAAATTCTTTTTTCCTTCTTATTAGAACGTAGTAAATACCTACAATACTTTTCTTCTTATCCCCTTGAATATGTCTATTTGATTAATATATATGATAGACAACTAACCTGATTGTTTAGTGATATTGAAGGATTTAATTGTGTTGATGAAATTTGATTATTTATCGTGTCAATATTGTCTTGTGAAGGATTATTTAATTGTATTTTTGTTTTAAGAGAAGAACTATCTTTTCTTTTGATAGGTAATGGATTTAATATTGTTGGTTGAGGTGGTAAAATTGAAAATTTTCGTCTAAGTACAGCAATTGGTGGAAATTCAACACCTAAAAAAGCTTTAGTTGTTGATTGTCCATTGCTTTGATTATCATCATTTTTCGTTGTAACTGTCCAACGTTCTTGCATTTTTTTTTCACGTCGAAATTTTTTTGCATTTAAATTCATTGTCATTTGATCAGTTGTCTCCATTGATGATGATAATGATGACAATGACGATGATACTACTTGTTCATTACTACTATTACTATTATCATTAGTTAATCCTGTACAAATGTCATTATTGCTTGTATTATCTTTTTCTTCTAGAATGACATTAGGATTATTTGAAGTATGATCAATTGATGGCGATGATGATCCATCTATTTAAATAAAATATAAATAATAAAAAAAGGACATTTTTATTTTATTTTATATTTTGATCACATACGACGAGTGTGTTTGCCTCTCTTTCGACATAATCTAAACATGATCAAGTCACGAGCCCTCTTCTCTTTCTCCTTTTATATCCTCACCTTATTGAAAAGGAAAAGAAAAAATATAAACTATGTTTTGCCTGTTAAGTTATTCGATCATTAGAATGCACAAACACAAAACGAAAGTATCAAATAAAAAAAAAAGAAAGAAAAGGTAATGTTTACCTTCATGGAATAATAGATTGTTATTATTATTATTATTATTATTATTATGATTGTTATTGATTTCATCGTATTCTTGCACCATATTTTGTAAATCAACTAAGGACGAATTTGGTGAATAATAGTTACTTTGTGAAGATTCAGATCCACAAGATGATTTAATTTCTTCGAATGAAAAATAATTTTCATTTGCTAATAGTAATTGATCATCGGACGTTGATGTTGGTAATAAACACTTGCATAGAACAAGACGAAAATAATATATAACCTATCTGATACACGTACCGTGCGTGTCTCGAGTATACTATTGCTCTTGCATATCCGAGGAAAAGAGGGACAGAGAGAGAGAGAGAAGAAAAAAAAAGTAACGCCTCTTGGTTGTAATTGTCTCTATGACGCAACTTTCTCATGTTCGAGTAGGCGTGAATAACTATGCAAGACAAAAATCTTATACATTTCTTTATTATTCTTACACTTTAGCTGTCATCGGACAAATGTACGAATTAAATTAATTGATCTCTAAAGGACAAATTTGTAAATACAAGAGATAAGATTACTTGTTTTGCTTAAAGGTTTTCATCAAATAGACAGTAATATTGATATTTACTATTTTGAACTTTACGATTTAAAGCAAATACTAAAGTGCTTTTCGCCTACTTGTATATATTACCCTTTTTTTTCTCCGTCAAAGAAAGATTCTTTTTTTTCCTCTAAGTCTACTTTTATGATATATCATTAAAGATATGATTATCTTGTAGTTTTATATTTACCTGCGTAATATGACTCGTCTAAAACGCAATATTGACAAATATATGTAAATGTTTGTCTAAATTTTTTCTTCTTCTTCTTTTGAGCTTAAAGAAATCTATCGTAGACGTTTATAAAACTTCATTGCTGACAGGAGAAGGCCTCAGACTGTCATCTCTTTTTTCAATAGAAATTTATGAAGTATTTTTTTGTGTTGAAAAGTGATGATAGAAATTGAAAAAAGAATACATATATAAGAATAAAATTTCATTTCTTGAGGGAACGATCATCTCAATTCTTATATTGAAACTAATAGAAAAATCAATAACTGTCGGACGTTAATCTTTTATTTTTTTATTTTTCCCCTTCAAGATAAATCTTACCTTTGATTCATCAGGTATTGTTGTAGAATATTGTGGTTTAATTGGTTCTAAATCAACAATAAGCCAAGTATCTTGATCATTCATTGATATAGATGATGTTTCTTCTGTAGCTGTTGATTTATCTATTATTAAATCATCGACATCGGTCCTATACTCACGTAGACATGTTTGAGTCAATGTTAGCTCATTATTATTTGTTAATGTCGATTCTGATAATGATTGCTCAGGTGATGTTGATGATGGTATATTAAAACAACCATTACGTACTAATGTTTGACAAACATTAACAAAATTTGTTTTATCAATCATTGATGTACATATATCGGGATCGTCTTTTGTGAATTTATTAAATAAATAATAAAGATATTCAGTTAAATTTTGATCAATTTGTTTAATTGTTGGATAAATTTTTGTTTGTTTTTTCTTTTCAATTAATGTATTTTTATTTGATAAACATTCAACACGTAAAATAAGTAAATTAATTAATGTGGAAATTTCATTATTATCATCAAAAGTTTCCTTCGATAAATCTTCATTTGATAATTGTTTGGAATTTGGATTTAATAATTGAGATGATGAAAGTGATGACATGCGTATTGGATATTGTTGATATGCAAAATTATTTGATAATTTAAATGTTTCAAATAAATGATTGATGTCTTCACAGGATTTCTATTCAAATATATACATAGAATAAGAAGATGAAGAATAGAAAAAAATCTAATGATTTGTTCGATTGGAAGTGTAGACAGACTCGACATATAATGAATGATTACGTAAAAATAAAATGAAGAATAACCATAAAAGTGTGTTCCTTTTTTTTTTTAGGAATCTAAATCATATAAGTACGATCAATTTATATTGCATCCGTTTTAAAAAAAATGTTGTTTGAACTGTTTTTTTCTTCTATGTGAGTTGGATACCGGAGGTAGTTGAAAACGGAGAAAAAAAGAACAAGAAAATGATTATTGGCAATTATTCTTTACTGAAGAAAAAAAATGTAAAAGAATATATATGAATAAATAGTATTTTTATTCTTCTTTCTTCTGTAGAAATCTTATTTCATTCGTAAATATAAATGATTGACAGACAAAAAGACTACACTCTATAGGAATCAAAAGTTCTTTCTTTCCTCTTAGTTTTTACCTTTGTTTTAATTCGTTCATAATCATTTGTTTTATTATTCGTTGTTGATCTTAATTCACTACGTAAGTATTGAAGAAAAGAAGTTACTTTTGAAGTTGTCTTGTGTTTATTATTGTTATATGAATCACTTGCATATCGTCGACGTTTTTTAACGTTTTCTTTAATGTTTATATTCGAAGAAGACGATTGTCGAGACGGGACAGAAATCGATCGATTCGTTAGTTGATATTTATTACGGTAAGTCTGGACACTAGTTTGTTTGCTTGAGCAAATGTTGTTGTTACTACCATCACAATTGTTATACTCCGGAGGTGGCCGGACAGAAGGAAATTGATCAGCTAAAGTAAAGGTCTCTATATCATCTGTTCATGTATACATATAGATATAAAGAGGGAGCAGTTCTGTCTATGTTTTTTTTTAATTAAATACAAAAGAAATTGATTATATGGTAATAAAACTCGATCAGTTAAGATTAAATATATACGAAATCGAATTCTTTCTTTTCTAGTAATCTTCTCACCTATCATTATTGTCATATCATGAGCATCCTGTGTGTCTTTTTCTTCATTGATACGATTCATTATTATTGAAAATAAATGTCGAACAATGTATAAATGATAGTGGGCAAAAAAAAAAGAAAAGAGTTTTTTTTCTCTTCTTCTTCTTTCGGTATTTTTTTGTTATATGTTTTTTGCATATGACACTCACAAAACTCATCAACTATTGAGAAAATAGTCATTATTTTTTCCATAATAATTCTACTTCAATTATTATATAATAAAAATAAGAATGTCATTTGAAAACAACAAGTTTTTCTTTTCTAATAAAATAGACATTACACTTACCAAAAAGACGTGAATGTAAAGTATAAAAGAGAGAATCTCAGTCTGTTTCATATATGTGACACTACTTAGACAAGAAAGAAGAGGAGTGAGAGAGAACATATAAAAATGAAACAAACAGAATAAGTACATCTATACGATCTCACTTTTCAATGATGTCGTATGTGTGTGTCTGTATGTTTATACGAGTCACTTGAACGAACTCTATCTACTTGAAAAAAAAAGTCATGAAGTGAATAAAGAGTTTGTCTCATTTTAAATCTTTATAGTCTGAAAATATCATGATTGATAGTAATAACAACTGAAGAACTATTTTTTCTTCTCCTTCTTCTTCTTCTAATCGAACACATATTTATTCGTTTACCTGTTATATTCATTTTGTCTGGTATCGATTCCAAATATCGAAATAGAAACCTATTGTAACGTTTGCGATGGATTAATAAATGATGAGCTTGTCACCTTCATTATTCGATTACATCGTTATACATATACATATACATATAAAAGAACAATGGATATGAATAGCGTAGAAGAAACGCCGAGAAGCAGCAGAGCGTTATTCGATCTAAGAGATAGGAGTAAAAAAAGACGCGTTACAGAGAAGGATGATGATGATGATGATGAAAAAAAAGGAAGAGGATATTACGCGTACACTTATTGAACAAAATATACCATATATACATATAAATATATATACTATGATCGATATGTCAATAGAGCATAGCATATATACATATACATGATGATGATGATGATGTCGAGAAAAAAAAATACAGATGGAGCCCGTTTTCATCGTTTATTTGCACAATAAACATATACACTTCAAATCGTTCTGTTCATCATCATCACCATCAATTCTCTTGCAGCTATTGTTACAAAAATACATATTACTGATGATACCTTCTGTTTTTACTTCGGACCATTGAGAGCATATGATAAAACATTCTCTCTCTCTATTATCATATTCTTAGTTCAATAAAACGACAGATATGAGATAAGTTCTTATAGATATAACGATCTTGCCAATATATATGCTAGTAGGATGTCTCCATTTGATAATGGCCAGATGGTGTATTACTTTAAATAAATAAATTATATAAAAAGATACCAAGGTTACCTACTCCGAGTGACTCATATAATTACATTTTAAACTACTTAAAAGTGCAAATGAAAAAAAAAACTAGGTTTAGACTATCATATCGATCTCTCTTTATTTTATCTGATCAAAAGACAATTATTCTTTACCTAGCACATTTATTCTGTCAGTTCAGTTTTTCTAGATAATTATCTTCGTCTGTTTACAATATGTAAATGAGAAAAAGGTAAGAGAGGAAGGAAATTAGTACAAAAAAAAAAAGGGAAGGGGCAAGGTGTGAACAAATGTGTCATTAAGACTCCGTTCTGTATAGGGATACTGATTGAACACATAGGTCAAAGATAATATCACTCTTACGCTTTGACGTATTCGAAATGAACACGAAGATACATCCTTGAAAAGAAAAAGAAACCTGAGAACAAGGATAGATTTTTCACAAATGATAGTACTATTGGTTTGAACTGATAAATTATCATGAGTATAGAGTCATAGTGAAGAGATAGAATATGATAATAGAGTTGAATTGAATTCATTATTTGACGAACGATAGTTTTCTTTTTTTTATGATAGTAACTGAAATAAAAAAATATATTTCAATGTCACTATTGAAAAAGTTTTATTGTTCTAACAAAGATAATTATATCAAGATGCCGTTATATTTACTTTCAAGCTACAATGAAAGATGAAATACTCAGCATGTGGTTCTGCATCTAATTGTTCATACGACTCATTCTTCTTCTTCTTAACCTCATAGTCATCTAATATAATCCTTATATATTGAGTGTGCGTGCGCGTGCATGTGTATATATATGCATATATATACATGTCTAGTGTATATATTTGATCAATTGATCATTGATCTTCTAGTATTGCATTTTTCGACATAGCTTCAAAGCTTATTTATTATTGTAGATATAACACGTACATATGAATTTCAATCACATATAGATACTTTGAATAATGAATAAAACATATTTGATGAAATAAAATCTCATTGTAATAAACTATAAATACATATAATAACTATATATGTATTTATGCTTATCTCGTCTCAGTACTTTAAAATGTTAATTCATATACATACTTCAATATATATAAAAAATTTTCTTTTATATTTCCGATTTCTTTTATTTGAAGGATACTTTATATTATATTTTCAAGTTATTTTAATCTAGAAGCCTTAGTTTGTTTTATTTTTTTCTTTGTATAAATATTTCTCTCATATACAAAATAATTGTAAATAGAAAGCACAAAAAAAAAAAGAAAAGTCCTTTTTTCTCTTCGCGTAATCAAATCGACGATTATGCATTAGCATTGAATTAAAAAAAATGTAGTTAACCCTGAGTATATATGCAAGATACTTGTCCTTCTCTTCTTAGTGTAACAAGTATAGCAAGTAGTACAATCTCATTTACATATGAGAAAGATATTCTATCACAAAAAAATGTATAATGAAAAAGCAATTATGTTTGTTCAATTTTACTATACAAATTTAATATTCATAAATATAAATTATGCATATACAGACATGTGTGTTGTAAATTCTTACTTAGCTGTTTCACTTGTTGCCTTTCGTCGCTATACCTTCTTCGATGATTACCCATGCGTTATTTAGATTGTCCACTTCGTTTATTTTATTATTAACACCTTATCATATTACTGGAAGAAAACGAAATTATTATGCAGAAAAAATATATATAGAAACAAAACTTACATAAGGTTTTTGAATATACCGTTTATTAATCGGTATATAAACAACTTGAACAAAATTTTGAGTAAACGATGAAGTTAAACCAACATGTGTTGCTGTTCGATAACGTATAACTATAACGATACGATTCATGATGAAATATCTATAATAATAAAATTTTGTTTATAAATAATAATAATAATAGAATATATAAACTCACTTTTTGACTTGTCGAGATTTATTATTGTTGAATTAAGAGACTCTTTACTTGATTATAGTCTTATAAAAAGTTGTTCAATATTTTTAATAGACTTAATAAAATCTTATACTTTATCGACAAACCAAATAACAGAATATGTATTTTTTTTGTTAATAAAATCGATAAGAGAAATGAAAATCTCTTTCTCTTTCGCTTTTTCGTTTTTTTCTTGTAGAGGAGTTTGCTTTCTTTCTCTATTGATATTACATAAATCAAGAAGAGAAGTAAAAAACCCAGAATTTATTCTAATCTTAACCCTAAAATTAGAATTTAATACAAAAAATGAATGAAATTATCTTTCTATATGAAATCTACTTAATGTAAACAATAACACTTTTTTAATTAAAATAAATATCTAAATATGTCATCTATTGTATTCTAGATCATTTGATGAAATTCAATTGTGATTCTTATTTGTAAATATATATTAGCACATAAACAAGAAAAAGAAAAGAATTGAAATCATTGAATAATTTTTATTTTTTTAATTTAAATCAAAATCATTTGCAGATGTTAATTGAGAATAGACAGAATTTGGTGTACGCCGATGTGAACGACGAAATATTGAACCACGATGATTATACATTGTACTTATAAAACCAAGAATTATTAAAGAAAAAATAATAGTTAAAATAAAAAATATGGGAGCAAAATCTCTTCCAACTGATTTTTTGATATCAGTAGAATCATTTTCTGATTGATCATCAGATACACTATCTGATGATGATGGTGATGTTGTTGTTGTTTGATCATCAGATAATATTGTTGCTGTTGTAGTAGATGGAATATTTTGTGTAGACTCAGTTGGTGGTATTACAATATATTCCCTAGTAAAAATAAATTAATCAATAAAGTTTGCGATCAATTTTTTATGATTTACCGTTTTACTGTAAAACTACTTGTTTTCAAGATTGGTAGCTTTTGACAGATAACGTTTGCTTTTAGACTACAAGGAATTTCATCACATCGGATAGTTGGTATAGCATTAGGTGTTATATCCATATATGCACAACCTAACTGTTGTTTTTTTAATTGGTTCTTTTCATTTGATTGCAAAGCTGATGATGACATTACTGCTGTATAACGTTCTTGAAATGTTTTTTCACATAAATTATAAATAGCATTTGAATTTGGTATACTTAACGCATCACCTTCCTTTAAGGTGTTATATTGTACAACTGTATTATTTAAATTATCATAATAAACACCTACATGTGCAAAACTAGATGATGCATAAGTTTTTTGACGTAGAAATAATGATTTTACATATTGTAATGCAACAGATTTTTCAGGAACAAATATTGTTGCATTATCAAGTTGACATTTTGATTTAGCATCATTCCAACTAACTTCTTCCGGAAAAACTTTATAACAATAATCATCAACAAAATGATAATCATTATTTTCATCACATGAATGATCAATTACAATATCAACTGTTATGTCCGACGGATCATCATCTGCAATAGGTGGAACAAATTCTGGTACAGGTTCTATATGTTGATCAACACAAATTGGCATAGCCTGTTCTGTTAAACAAGCATTTGATTCAATGATACATCTTTCATGACTTGTTGTTTGACTATCATTTGAATTTGCAACAAATTTAACAGATATACAATTTTGATCAATAAATTCTGGTATATCAGAACATTGTTTAAGTAAACGATCTGATATTGTATTATTATGAGGCTTATCATTTGTACGATCAATCCAATAATATCTTGTATCATTGACATATTTAAATTTATAAAAAACAAGTAATTGTTGCATAAGACGTGTATGTAATATTGATTCAGGTAAAATATCTTGAATTTGAATAATATCCTTTATTTTTGCGAGTGATGTACCAATAGATCGACAATAATTTTGTGCAGCTTGAAGATTTTGTACTTTAGTAGCATAATAACTATAAACACATTGTTGATTATTTTCTGCAACTTCAAAACCTTAAGAAATAGAAAGAAAACATTTAGTTAAACATAAGAAAAAACATATTCGCATTTTTTACCATGTCGACATTTTGGCTTTAATATATACATTGAATATATATTTTTATTATCTTTATGACCACATGAATAAAAATGATTACCAGGACATAATTGAGAACAATTTTGTCCAGGTAATGTCATACTATTATCTTCATCACCTTTCAATACTGTATTTGTACATAAACATGTTCCATTATTAATTAATGCATATTTTTGATTATATTTTGTACATAATTTTAAGCAATAACGTGGATGAAAATCATGTTGATTTTGAATTGTAAATTGATAGGTTGTAGATTGATTAAAGAAATTTAAGCTTATACAACTATCAAATGTATATTTAGGAAATGGTTCAGCTGGTGTACGACTAAATGTAAATGTACGACGAGAATCAAGAATTTGATAAGCAACAATGGTATCTTCATTACCACACATTTCATGAGAATTACCTAAAGTAAAAAGCTTTTTTTTAAAAGTATATCTTCATGCATGATAAATAGAGGAGATAGCAAAAGTCTAGGGATAAATCTATACTCTCATAACTAAGAAAAGGATTTTCATGATCTATGATGAGCTAAAATCTATCTGTTTTATGGTACAGGGGCTAGTGAGCGAAAGGCAATTCAGCGAAATGTCTTTTCTCGATGAGGGTATGGACGAAAAGTGTGGGTGAGGGCGAAAGGTGTTTCGCAGTTGTGACTTTCGCGCATTTGTTTTCGCTGAAAAACTCGTTCGCTGATATGTTTTTCGCTCAACTGACACCATATCGCTCTATGTGGTCATAAAATATACCTGGACAAGAATTTCCACATGATTTCTGTTGAAATTGTTTAAAATCTGTTGTTATATTTAATAAACTTGGAGTTGCACCATTTAAACAATAGCATTTATTAATATGTAAAATAGCTAATTTAGTTTGTAATTCTTGACAAATATGTAAACATAATTCATGTGTTAATTGATTTGATATTAATGCTGGTAAATCAAGTGCTTTGGGTTTACGCAAACAAGCAGTTTGAAAATTTTGAACAATCAATGTGTTTGTTTCACATAAAACATGTCTTGGTTTTGAACAACTATTTATTGGAGTACCTTGTAAAATAGGTTTTTCTTCTTCTTCACTTATTGAACGTGTTACAAGAAAACACGTATTATCTTTACTACTTGTAGTATTATTTTCATTTGCTTCAATTATATGAAACTCATTGATTGCTCCATGATTAGTATTATTAGCTGTATTATTACTATCTGATGATATTAAAGCCTCATCATAATAAATACTAGGTAACGATGGTGTTGTTGCATCTGGGTAATCCTCATCTAAAATAAGAAAGTTGATTGATTAAAATAATTAATATATATTTTCATACCATGATCAGGATCTGTATCAAGAAGAAAAAATCCAAGTCGACTTTGCCATTCAGATATATATTCAACAATTTCACCAGTTGGTGTATCGCTTAATTCATTATCATCATTCTTATCAGTATCACCAATCAACCATATTTTATTTGCTTCTGTTGTTGTTGAGGATGATGATGATGATGATGATACACTAATACAACTATTTCGTGCTTCTTCTATTGTTTTACGTTCATCTGAAATACGATAACAACGTCCATTTAAATCAAACCAATTCGTTGGACAGTATTGTTTATCAGGATTTATAGCAAAAATTTGAGTGCCAATACTATCTTCATCATTATTCGAAGAATATTTATTAATTGGATCAGTTACACATAAACGATATGAATATCGATGTGCATATGATGAATATGAAATTTCACGTAAACATCCACTTTCTAATATATATCGTGTAACAGAATTAACTCCATATAAAGTTGAACGTGCTTGTGCTAAATATGATCTCCATGAATTTGATGAATATGATGGTGATGCGACTACTACAGGTGCACATTTCCATGTTGAATCAACAACAGTATCGTCATCAAATTCAATTGTTACAGCTGATTCATTTAATTGTAGTCTACCGATCATTTTTAATAAACCATTCCATGAAAAATTCCCATTATGAATATAGCCGACAGCTGGTGGTGTACATGAATTCCAAAAATTTTTATATTTATATACACATTTATTTAATTCTTGTATATAAACATAATCAATTGGACATGTACCATTTAAATCATATATGGCCCATACTTTAGGATCTGTTAATGAACCACATTGATATTTAAGATCACTTTTCGAACCTTCATAGATATTATTACAATAACGATCACATGAATTATTGGATAGAGCTTCTACATAATGTGTTCGTTCAAAATATTTAGCAGGTTTCAATGGCATTATACATAAACATTTATCACTATCATCATTAAATCCTAGAAAAATAATTGTAATAAAAAAATTTGTCTTTATGAGGTAAATCCGTGGGTATCTACCATCCTTTTAACAAGTTTTTTTTATTGAATTTCCTGTTCTACTTAGCGGTAAGCGCAACGAAAAACAACTTTCGCCGAAAAAATTTTATGATTTTTACGTCATTTTCTCGGAATATCTAAGAGAAGCCACTTCGATTATTACACGATATGACGCTCATATTTCGACCCATAGTAGAAGACAACTGGACTAGCACAACCTCCAACGTATTCTTTTGTTCAACGAATTTTTACCGAGATACAGCATTTTTAAAGTAAACAACTTCTAAACATTTTCTGTGAAAATAACATTTTCGGCGAAAGTTGTTTTTTCATTACGGTTACAGCTAACTGTAACAAAAAATTCAATAGAATAAATTTTTTTCAGAAGGATGGTAGATACTCATGGATTTATTCTATGTTAAGTTTTGTACATTAAATATATTTCAATTCTATCTTAAGATGAGCACATAATTACCTATTGATTTTGTTGTTGCATTTTGATCTAAACATGCTGCTGCACATTTTTCTAATTTATTTAAAGATGATTTTACACTAATTCCACTTAATTTAACACTATATGTTTCATAAACATCCGAATTTTTCCATAATTCACATGCTGAAAATTGAATCTTATAAGTAAATAAATGTCCATGTAAACTATAGAAAGCGCTTTGAACATAAACTGAATATGTTCCTGAACCACCACATGTATTAGTTGATATTATAGATCGATCAACTGGTTTTGTACATGGTGTTGAACAACTTTCCTTTGGTTGTTCATCATAATGCATAAGACCACCACCAGAACAACGACAAATAGTTTTTTGTAAATAAATTATTGGTGTATCACATAATCGAAAACATAATGTTGGTTCCATAAATGAACTAGTAAAATAAGTATTAAAAAATACATGTGTATAACAACCAGCATAGCGATATGAACAATAAATTGATTGATTTATTGAAAATAGAATAAAAATATATTTCAATAGATGATACATTGTATGTTAAAATGATATAGAAAATGATTGTATGAAAACGAGTTAAAACAAACAAGAGCTGAAATTTGATATTCATTGAAATATATCCGATATTAAATAACATTAAAAAGTTGATAAAAATAGATATATAATTGCCTCGTTTTATTTTATATAATGATTAGACAACATATGATTTATCTTATCTTTTTGATTCTTTCTATTTTTTGCTTGAATAGAAATTTGATGTTGCGTATGAATGGTTTTTTCTCTTTATTAAAAAAAGACAAAATACAATTTTTTTTCCTTTGTACTTATGACTCAAGGATAAATTGTTTCACAACGATTGTGTAAGACACATGTTGCATTGAAGAGATGAACTAGAAAGAAAAAGAAAATCTCGCTGATAAAATTGAAAAAATTTTTTTTCTCTGCTTGTGTCATATATAAAATGTTTGATTTCGATGCATCATACAATCAAAATAAGTATTTTTCTTTAAACAAACTTTTAAAGTCTCTATTTATAGAAGATTTATTTGTTTATATGAACATTTTATAAGCTAGTTTTTAAGCTGTAAGAGTAAATATGCTTGAAATGGAAATTCAAATTAGATGGAAATTATGTTATTATATAGTTCAATTGAAAATAGAAATCTTATTCTATTACTTTTAATAATCTCTCATTTTTTTTAAATTAAAAACAGAGGTATTTTTTAATAGGTTTATATCTATAAAAACAGGACATCGATTATATATCATAAATTTTAGGAAAAGCCTTTAATGTAAATATAAAATGTTACTATAGAAAAGTTTTAAAGGTTATTCGCCTAAGGGAATTATATTCATTTCCTGATCCGTGTCTAACCTATAGTATTTCTCTTTAACATTTTGATTAATTAGTTATCCATAGTAGAAAAAATAATCTAGAAACAGGAATAGGATTTTCTTATTAGAAAGCTATTTAGATTTTTTTTTATATATATTCTCTATTTTTTATTACATGTGCTATTCAGTAATTTCATACTTTAGTTTTTTATGTCATACTTCTTCAAGCTTTCTTTTTTTTTCAACTGTTGATCACGCCATTCTGTTGTATTAAAGTGCACAAAAGAATCCGCTATTATTCTTCTTCTTCTTTTTCTATGCGTTGAAATTTTATTTAATAATTGAGTTCAAATTTCAAGTGACTTTTATTTGAACTCAGCCTTCAGATTTCATACTGCTGTCATAAAAGACACAAAATAAACCTTGATGATTTTTACGCCATTGATGAAAATTGGAGTGTCTTTATGTTAATAGTACGTCAAACAGCATTGATTTACTCGTTCAATAGATCTTAAAGAACGCATACGATTAATATATATAAATCTTTTTCATATTCATGTTTAAGCTTCTAATAAATATTCGTTTTTGATTTGAAGTGATTTTTTTCTTCCAAGAAAAATTATCATAAAATAATAATTTGAGTCTTGTTGAGTATTTCTTCCTTTTGTATGTTAAATATTAGCATCAAAAGATGGCTCCAGTGTACATAATCTATTTATTATCTCCTTCTATCGATTGGTTAATTACGATTGTATGTGTATGCATTGCGTTTTCTTTCTTTTTTTTTTCTTCTCTTTTTCCTTTTTATCAGTTCCCTAATATTTTTTTCTGTTCTGTTGTTTATTGTTATTTGTTTTTTCAGCATTGTTCTTCTATATATCTATATAGCGATTTCTTTTCCTATTTAGAATAGACAAAAACCAGATTGTCCGATAATTCACGTGTATATATACAATCTATGACAAGAATGACGTCAATGTTACATTACTAAATTCAATTTGTTTTGATTTCGAAGAAAATTACTTTTTTATGTTTTGTCTAAGTTATGTTGTCAAGTACACAACCTACTGAGGTATTTTTCCATGAAACCTTATTTATGAATAATCGAAAAAATAATCTCATATTTGTTTATTTATCTTTATCATAGACAAATGGCGATCCACCACCACCACCAGAAGATGAAGATATTGAAGGTGTTGATATTGGTAATAATATTAAATTCAATTAAGAATAAAAAAAATTACATTTCCGGTTTTAATTTATATAGGTAAAAAACACAAACTAGGACATTTACGTGTTGATACACAAGGCAATGTTACATTTAAACGTTTGCCAATAACACAACTTGTTGAAGCGTTACAATTAGGTATACAATATACAGTTGGTGGTCTACAAGCTAAAGCAGCACATGATGTACTCTATCAAGATTTTCTAACTGTTGAAATAATACATTTTCCAAAGTAATAATTATTTTAATTCATGTTTTGCTATAACATAAATTATATTTAAATAGAGAAGGAACAAAAACAACTCCAGCTCATCGATTCAATGATTTTACGATACGGTCATATGCTCCTGTTGCATTTAGACATTTTAGAGAATTATTTAATATAAAGCCAGATGAATTTCTGGTAAATATATTTCAATAGACAAAAAAATATCTTATTTGTTTATTTAGTATTCCATATGTAAACCATTAAGAGAATTAAAAAATCCGGGCGCAAGTGGTAGTTTATTTTATTTAACATCCGATGATGAATTTATATTAAAAACAGTACAAAAAAAGGAGGCAGAATTTTTAAAATGTCTTCTCCCGGGTTATTATATGGTTCGAATTACTATTTATTTCGTTTTTATGATTCATAATTTAAATTATCTTTTAGAATGTTACACAAAATCCTCGTACTTTATTACCAAAATTTTTTGGTCTTTATTGTTATCAGGTATAAAATTTGATTTTTCTAAACAATCGAAATTAATAGATTAACTATTCTAAACAAATTGAGAAAATAGATTCACATATATACATATACATAGGTCACAGAATTCATGCCAAGAAATAAATATGGGAGTGTAAGTGAAATTACATTATGTAGAAAGGTTTCTCTCTAACTGATTAATTGACACTCTTCGTGCGTGTGTGTGTATTTGACAAAAATAAAATTTTGTTTTACAACTGTCAAATGACAAAATATCAATCTTCTTCTATTTTTTAATACTTGTGAATTGATGTTTGTTACAGAAATAGAAGATTATCTAAAACAATTTCTATTGTTCTGTAGAACAAAAAATGTTTCTTAAATATACTTTTTAAGTTCAATCATCGATATATCTTAAAATTCTTCTAATAAGGTGAAACTTAAAATTGTGTGTATGCTGCTTTGCTCTTTTCTTATCTGTTTGATTTAAAAATCTATATTTAAAATCTATATTTCAATTATATGTTTTTTGTTTTTCAGGGCGATAATAAAAATATTCGTATAACTGTAATGAATAATTTAATTCCATCTCATGTACAAATGCATGAAAAATATGATCTGAAAGGTTCAACATATAAACGTCGTGCTAATAGTGCAGAAAGAAAAAAAGAATCTCCAACATGGAAAGATTTAGATTTCATGGAAAGACATCCAGATGGTTTACTACTTGATACAGAAACTTATAATGCTCTTGCAAAAACTGTACAACGTGATTGTCGAGTTAGTTTTATTCGAATATTAAATTTAAAAACAAACAAAAAATGTTTTTTATTTAGGTACTTGAAAGTTTTCGTATTATGGATTATTCATTTCTAATTGGTGTTCATCAAGTTGATACAGTAAATGATTCTGGAGGAGTAAAAAACAAAATTTATTCTTGAATTTTCTTCATATTGATTTTCTATGTAAATATTTAAGGACCGTGCAACCGTAAATGTTGCTTGTACACCTGGTGGTAAGTTAATATGCGTAATATTATGGAAAAAATTGTCTAATAAATTATCTATTTTTTTGTTATCAGAGCAAACATCTGTACAACCAAAACGAATGATGTATTCAACTCCGATGGATACTATTCAAGTTGAATTTGATGAACATAACAAACCAGATGATCATCTCGTTCGGTAAGCATAGTGAAAATCTTCTTCTAGAGAAATAACTGTTTTAAGATGTAATCTATTCCCAAAGGTTATGAGACGTAATTTGTCAATTGATAGTATAACATATTGATATCAAGTAATTCTATTCTTAAACAAACATTATAATTATATACGTCTTTCACGATAAATATATAGGATTGAATAGCAATAAACTTTAAAACCTAGCAATTATTATATAATAGTTTCTTTTAATATGTTCTTAAGAATTAAAATCATATAATTTTATTCTCTTTTAGAACTGGTGGTCTTCCAGCTCGAACTGCTAGTGGTCAACGATTATTGCTCTATGTTGGTATAATTGATATATTACAATCTTATCAAATACGTAAAAAATTAGAACATACATTTAAATCTGTTCTTACAGATGGGGTAAGAATTCTATTAATTTTTGACGATAAATAATGAAAACTTTTGTTTTTAGACTCAAATATCCGTAACGAATCCAAGTTTTTATTCAGAAAGATTTCAAAAATTTCTCTTTACAAGCGTATTTAAAAAAGCACCACGTAAATATTAATTTCCAAATTTTTTTTTTCGTTCTTTTTCTTGAAAAACAAAAACAACTGAAAACATATATTTAGCTATTATAATAATTGAGGGACAAGTATGTAAGTTGAGTTCATATATAGACTTTGATTTTCTTTGTGTAATTAATTCTTTACTAATAAATTACTACAATTAAAAAACAACGCCCTATTCTTAGGTGATAATGCGAAGAAATTTCGTACAATTGCATTGATTGGTAAAGGAGAAAAAAAAATTTATTTTGTATTGTTGTGATTCATTCATATTGTATATTATTTATTTATTTATTTTCAACCTTATTATCCTATTGTTTAAAAAAAAACTATTCCCATGAGAATTATTTTACCCCCAAAAAAAAGAATATAGTATGGAGTGTATGTGTGTGCGTGATTGATTGGTCAATGCTTTGCTATGATTGAATATATAAATGATGATTAGGATTTTAATTATTTTTTCTTCTTCTTTTATAGCCTTAAGAGAATCACCAGTTAAACGACGATCAAGAATATCGAAAATAATTGCTGGATCAGAACGAGAAAAAGATACATTAACAACACCGATAACAATTCGAAATGATCGAGGTGGTTTTCATACATCACCTATACAAAGACGATCTTTTGAAACAACACCATTAAATTCAAATCAATCAGATACTAGGTAAATCTAGTTTAATCAATCAATAGAATCAGTGATTTATCCAGCGGAGGGGGCACGGAGCTTTTTGCCCTCTCGGAGGGTGCTCCTGCTCCCCCGGAATTCAGAAAAATTACGCTTTTTGAGTCTAAAACTCTACGTTTGCCCCCCCCCCCTAGAAGAGAGATTTTTACCCTCCCGGCAGTTAATTTCGCACCCTCGGACGAAAAAAGCTGGATAAAACGCTGCTATAATAGAATGTATTTTTGAGATTTTACTTCTAGTCATAGTATTATTTTAGATATTTTCATAGAAACGTTTTTAATCTACGCTCGTATTTTCCCATAGGAATAGTCACTGAAATAGCATGAGCATGAATCAAATCATTTAATTCATTCAATACTATTACATAATTAATCTTTGATATTGTTATTAATAAGTAGATTGAAATCTTGTCTGTTAGATTATCGTAGTAATGATATATACTAATATTAGAGTGCATACTTCCTACATTATTTTATTAATGTCGGGTAATACAGTCTAAATATTTACAACAAGATGATGAATTTTGATTATACTGCTATTTATGACTGATATGTATATATAATAAATCTCGATGGGAATGTGAAGAAATTCTTTGATCAGATATCATATAAAAGAAGTCATGTTTTTTTCAAAACCTTATGAATATAAGAGTAATTATACGGATTCATTAACTAAATAATTAAAGATTTTATATGTTGAACTTAGCAAATATAGTCCTATTTATCGGATGATCGATCTATTTTGTTTTTTCGTCATAGAAATCTTGTTGACATTAGATATGAAAAGCAAATATTTAATTTAGTCAAATTAGAGAATTACTCATATTTTGATCTTTTAGGTTTTGGATGATTTCGTTTTATATTGTTTGTAAGCTTATATGAACTAATTTCGAAATCCTTTGTTTTTCTTGAAGACTGACTACTATTTTATTCTATATAGTAACTGAAAAACTATAATTGAATTCTAATGTTCGCATTCGAAGCATGTCTAATTTAATTATCTCTGTTGCTTTGCATACCAAAAAAGAATAGCTTAATGAATTTATACTTTCTTAACTTGCAAAAGATCTAACAAAAAAATAAATAAATAAATAAAATAATTTCGGATTTGTTTTTCTTTTCTATTTTAGTTCACCGAAAATTAGTTTGAATAATAAACCTGATCGTAGTAATGTTCCATCATATGCAAATCATACAAGTTCAAGTTCGAGTACAGGAACACGAACAACAAATAGTCAAATAACATCCTATTATTCATCATCTCCATCAACACATATTAATACATTCATACGGAAACCAGATGCCGAATATAATAAACGTGATAGTTCAACAACTCTCTATTCAAGTTCACACCAATCAGATTCGCTATACAACGAACCAACAAGACAAAATTCAGCAAGAATTTTAACAACATCATTTAATAAACAAATAAAAGCTATACCTATACCTAGTCCAGTCTATACTAGACGAATTCTATTAACACCAACAAAAACTCGACATTATAGTAATGCTGATGATGATGATAATGCACCACGTCAGATTTTATTACCTATTGGTGGAGGAATTGTTGGCAAATTAGCATCATCAACTACAAATCTATCATACCGTAAGTTACTAAGTATTCATAAATTAAAAGAATTTATCCGAACACATACAAATAATAAGAAAATCGATTAAGATTTTTTTTGTCTTTGATGACGAATGAATAGAAAACTTGCCACAGGAGGCCGAGATAATCAAAGCAAATAAACGGATGCATAATAATTTTTCTAGCAATGTAAAGAAAGAGAAATTATTGTATTTCAACTGAAATTGATAGATTTTTTTGTATAAATTTCAGGTAGCAGTTCAACGGAACAATCACCAATACATCGTCCATATCGTCATCCTTCAACAAGTGGTATTGGCGATGAACCGGTATGTTTAAATGAAAAAAAAACCCTAAAATTAGTTATCCTATTTTCACCTTCATCCATTGCTCTTTATCTATCTATATTATTTGGTGATATAAAATAATTAATTTATCTTTTCTTTTCTTAATCTTTCCACAGACAAATCCCTATATTATTCGGGTCTGTATATAATTTAATCAATTTTCTTTTCTTTGCTATTATTTATGCATGTTATAAAATAAAAATTCTTCAATTGCTCTAATCCACTTTAATAAATATATGTGTCTTTTAGTTTTAATCACATAGTTCATTGTTCTTTTGAAAAACAACAATATCAAATTTATTTTCTTTATCTCTTTATTTAGACTCGACTTTAACATATATATATATAAAGAAATTCGTGCAGAAACATTCCTTATCGACAAAAAGAGGAAAAAAAAAGGTTTTTGATCGTATCGATTGACCTTTTTTCTTCATTTTTTTATTATTATTATTACTATTATCATATTTATTCTCATTGTATATATGTATTCGTCAGTCATGTGTTTAAAAGCAAAAAAAGCTCGTTTTTTCTTTTTTTTATAACCAAAGAAAAAGATGATATTATCCCCTTTTTCATATTCATTGACATATTTATCTTTAGCCCCGGTGTTTTTGTATCTTATATAATTAGCAGTTTATTTCTTATAACCGATAAATAAACTTTATGCACGCTATTCTTTATCTAAATAAATGGTGTTCTTTTTTTTTTTCTTTTCGTTTGTCATTGTCTATGAAATGTGTTTTTTTCTTTCAATCCCCCTTCTTTCTTTTTTTGTCTGTGGTTTATCGTTAAAATTGAGTATTACACATTCATGCACACATACTATTTTAATGTATTAAATTTCTTCCTCTTTTTCTTATTTCTTACCTTCAAATAAAATTACAACCAATATAGAATTTGTGTTTTCTTGTTTTAATATCATCTTTAGATATTGTATAACTAAGGAAACGTAAAATCTATTCTCTAGATTGATTAGAATATGTAAATAAGTTCGAGTTTTCGAACGGGTAAAATTGAATTTTCTACTCCATTAAGAATTCCTCATAGTATTTGTCTATAGATGAATTATAAACATATTCTGATTGTGTATTTTTTCTTTTCTTTGATGAGAGTATATAAAAGAAAATGAATTTTTTATTAAACAATGTTTAATCTCTTTTAGATCTTTATATCAACTGTGATTAGAATCAAATAGTTTTTAAGTAAGAGAATTCATATTGTCGATTAGTTGTATAAATACAATAGTTGGAATTATTTTTAGCATTTTCCTTTTTTCACAACCATTAAACGGAAGTACTGACAAAGTGCTTTTTTTTTCTTCATTTACAAACCTATATTAACAATTCCGAGATGTTTTCTCAAGTGATTTTTTTGAAATCTTCGAGTGTTCTTAAGTCGATGAAGATAACATAGAGTATTATTTCTTCGTAGTTGTATTTTTTAACTATAATAAATGAATCTATCACTTATTGAACTAGTTGCACATTTATTATTCCATTAATTGAATTCTTTTAGAGTAAATTTAATTAATCAAAATTATATATGTAGATATTTATTGTTAGTTATACGATATAAGCTTACGAAACAAACATTTGTTTTTCGTAGAAACAGGTGGTAACAATTTGTAAAAAACCCACATAGTAGAATGACATCCGTTTAGATCAGACATTTGACTAGAATTGAACTATAGTATAGTAATGATTAGATGCATACTAATTAAATGAATAATAATTATGATGTCATCTGCGAATATTGAACTGTTTGACTTCAGATTAAAGCTTAGTTATATATATATATTTCTCGTTGTTTTGACTCTTATTATTAAAAATCTATAGTAAACTATCGCTTTTATTTATCTGATTTGTATTATTACAAAGAACAAGAGAAAAAAGGCGGAGAACAAAAAAGGAAAAGGAGGAGCAAAGGAATGTAGTAGTCGTTCGTGCATGTTTACGCGCTCACATTCGATTTGATTGTATACAGATTATATATATACTCACAACGGGCATGTTGACCAAGCTCAACTTCTTTTCTTATTTTTTACTTACTATTTATTATAGAAATAGAGAAGGAAGAGGAGAAGAAGGAGAAAAAAAAAGACTAGATAAAGAGGGAAAAAAAACATACACACACACAATCTTCCCATATTTCCGACAATTTTCTTTCCGCTTCGACTAGATGACAGAAAAAAAACAAGCCGATTAGTACAACAATCTTTTTGCGTATCAAACGATTATTTTCTCGGAAAAAAAATCTATATTTATGTTTTAGATCAATATCTTTGGTTTTGTTTTACATGACGGCTACTGAACAACGAACACCCGGTTTATTTCCCCACCAAAATGGTCGCACATCTCCAACAACTGTTTCATGTTTATCAGCAAATGTTGGTTCAATAACAGATTTTCTTTTTCCTCCATCACATTCCACATTAACTTCTTCTCCAAACATTCCTTCAAATGAAATTCATCACTCACCATCCGATGAATTTCAATCAGCACTACCACAAATTCTCATACATACCACAAGTGAAGAATGTCTTGATGTAAATCAGGAATCACCAATGAATACTACTCGAATATCAGTAAGAAAACAAAAAAATCATTTTTATTCTATTTTATTTTTTGAAATTAAGGTATCTGAAAGTGATAATGAACCATCTAGTGCTGGAAATAAAGAAAAACTAGGGCATCGTCGTGTTGATGAAACTGGAACTGTAACTTATAAACGTGTAGTGGTTGATGATCTTGTTAAATCATTACAAATAGGTCTTAATTATGTTCTTGGTAAACATCATCATCCACAACGACAAGTACTTTTACAAGATTTTCAGCAAATAGAATATCAAGATTTTCCGCCGTAAGATATTTTATTGATTTATTAATAATAATGATAATGAAAAACTCGAAATTCATACTTTAGGGAAGGTTCCAAATCAACACCAATGCATCCATATGCTGAATTTCATTTAAAAACTTATGCTCAAACAGCATTTCGTTTTTTTCGTAATGCCTTTGGTGTTGATCCATCATCATTTATGGTATGTTAATAGATTTTTTTCATATGACAGGAAGAATAATCTTTATATTTAATAAGATATAATAAGCAAAAATTTTTAAACGATGAAAAATCTTTAATTATATGATATTAGGAAACAGTAGGTGTCAGAGATTTATCTTCACGTTTTTTTCTTTTCTCTCTCTCTCTCGTTCTATATTATGTATTTATTTATTCAAATAAACCAAATGCAAATAGTATCGTCTTACGTGTTGATTCAAAGTCAATGAGAATTGACGCATAGGAATTCTAGACATTTATAAATACGGATAGTAGACGAAATGACGTCATTCAAGGAATAAAATTACCAAATAGAAAGTAAATAATTATGATTAGAGTTTGTTTTAGTTAACCTTGTTTTTATTTTTGATGATCCAAACATAGCAATATATTTATTTTATTATGAGAGAATCCTCGAAAATATATTTGGTTTTATCCTTATTTCCTATATTTTTTAATCTCTTATTGAAGATCTTAGTCATGAAAATCATAATAATTCATTCTGAATAATATAATCCTTTAATAAATAATTTAAGACGGAAAAAACAGTCGACTTTATGAATGTTTTATATTTCCTAATCGCTTTAAAAATAACAGTCTATAGACTAACAAAAACATAAATAAACTTATTATTACGATCTAATTCAGCGGAAAATTGTCCTAAGCTTTGATATTCTTAATAATCCATCACTCTCAGACTTATTTAACATGAATTGTATAATTAATCTCGGTTTTTTTTTGTTTTATATTCATAGTATTATTTTCTTATGTCTATGTTAAATAAATCCTATAAATAGTCAGAAATATAAATAAATTACCAGGCCAATGTTTATTAATATTTTCCTAAAATAAATATGATATGAAAATAGATTGAATGATAATAATAATAATAACAAGATTGTCTAAATTATATTTATTTTTAGTTATCATTATGTGCTAAAGATTTACGTGAATTACCAAATCCAGGTGCAAGCGGTTCTATATTTTATATAACAGCTGATGATACCTATATACTAAAAACAGTATCAAAAAAAGAAGCTCGTTTTTTACTTAGTCTTCTACCGGGATATTATATGAATTTAACACAAAATCCATTTACATTATTACCAAAATTTTTCGGTCTTTATTGTTATCAAAGTGCAAATAAAAATATTCGTTTTGTTATAATGAATAATTTAATTCCAACTAATGTTAGATTACATGAAAAATATGATTTAAAAGGATCAATATATAAACGAAAAGCATCAGAAGAAGAACGTAAACGTGATTTACCAACATTAAAAGATAATGATTTTAAATCAATAAATTTACATGGTTTAATATTAGAACCATTTTTTCATGATCAATTAATACAAACAATTGAAGATGATGTTCGAGTAAGAATTCAAATATACGTTTATATTCATATATATATAAATTTTAATTTAGGTTCTAGGTAGTTTTGATATTATGGATTATTCACTTTTACTTGCTGTTCATAATATAACGGAAGAAATGAAATCAAAACTAAGTTTACCATCACTAACACCATCATTATTATCATCACCACCAACAACATGTAAACGTACATCATCATCATCAGATTTAACAGCAAATTCTTCATCAAGTATTCATGAAGAATTACGAACAACAACATCAACCGATTCAGGTATAACTATGACCACAATACCAAATCTTCCAACGTATATACAATATATACGTGTTATTGAATTTATTCGTACACAACAAGAACCATCATTACGACCATCATCATTATCAAATGCTGAACATTCTTTAAGTGATAATATTGACACAGCAAGTATTAAAACAGTTAAACCAGAATCATCACCATTTCAAATAAATGTACATCAACAAATATCTGATACACAAACAATAGTTCGTCGAAATAGTAAGAGTCCAATAAATCGTCATCATGATGCACCATCACCAAATCATGTAACTAATGCCTTAATTGGTGGTGATCTTTGGTACAATCGTCAAAATCTTTCACGTCTTGCTATGTATGTAACATGTTCTTTTTCTCTTCAAATAGGAGTATACCGATGAATAAATGGTGAGATATAATATATATATATATATATATGTGCTGAATTGGCTGGCTGATTCTAAAGCATGCTTTGTTATGACTCAAAGAAAAAAATAATGCATATTGATATAACTATGAAATCTTTTAAATTCTTAAAAGACTAAAATTAATTCCTTTTTTTCTTAATGAAAGATAAAAATTAAAATATTTATCTAGTTTTTTTTGTTTGATTTAATGAAGGGCTGGCATTCCAGCTGTTAATAAAAATGGTGATTTATTATTGTTATATGTTGGTATCATTGATATTCTACAAAATTATCGTTTACGTAAAAAACTTGAACATGCATTTAAATCAACATTAGTTACTCGAGTATGTTTTCATTCGGAAAAAATAATATAAATATTAATTAATTAAATATTTAGGAAGAAATATCTGTTTGTAATCCAAGCCATTATGGTGATCGTTTTGTCAGATTTCTATCACACAAAGTATTCCGTAAAGGTATGTATAATTAAAATATCTACTATGGATAGCTGCTAGACTTTTTTTTTGTAATTGTCTACATTCACATTAGAGAAGTTAAATTTTTTTCCCTAAGGAAAATCGTTTTATTCCCAGGAGTCTAATAAAAGGACAGTATTTGTTATACAATGGTACAAATTCAATTAAAAACCTTAATTACAATTTAATAAAAACAGTATAAGTTGTTATCAAATCAGTAAATAATCGAGAGTTGTTATTCTGGAATTATATCTACTAAATGTGTTTAGCATTTGAGATTTTCAAGTCATCATATACTTAAAGCAAAAAAATTGATTATATTTCCTGTTATTCTATATGATTTATTTTCTAGGGGGTCCAAATGGCAATGCATTACTGTCGGATACTCAGTCAAATACAGATCGAATTACATTGCATAGTAGTAGGTAAATAATATCCTCATATAAACATATTTATTTATTATCGAAAAAATCTAATTCATTTTTATTTAGGTTATTAAATGCTTCATCATATCGTTCTCAAACAAGTGACGATAATTCTTCAATAGCGAATAATAACAATGAAATGCATAGTATCAAATCTTGATTCTTAAATTTTTGTTTTTCTTTTTTCTAATAATCTTATAACTATCCTCTCTGTCTTTCTTTTGTTAATGTATACGACTCAAAATGATCTCGTCAATTTTACTTTCAATTTTCTTTTGCTTACATTTCGAAAGAAAAAATTTCATGCATGTTCTACTGTTTTTTTTTCTGGTGAAATTTTCTTTCTTAGTGTTGCCTATTAATACTAACTCTATAAAATCTTTTTCTTTTGTTGAATTTTTTTTTCTTTTTTTTCTGAATTCTTATGCATTCTTAATGTATATTTATATTATAAGAAAACTTAATTCAGACTGAAGAACAAAGATAAGAATAAAAATGATTATGATAAATTAAATTTATGTTTACTATAAGAAAAAAACAATGTATCTTGTTGGAAAACAAATATGAATGACGTTTCATCATCAAATTCAGAGGGGATGTCATGAGTGTGGAAAATACTTTTCTTATTATTTTTTTGTAGATTTTTTAATATAAGAATTCATGTATAGATATGTGACAACGGTAAGATATACATTCTTTCCTTCCAAAAAACGAAATTGTAAAACTTTCGTAGATTTCTATTTATAAACAACTGAAGCTATATTTAGAGCACGAGAAATATAAATCAGTATCTCCGGTTACGAAATTTAATTGTAGTTTATATCTATAATAAACTAATCAAGTCCTGGATATTTATTATATATATTCAGTATGCGAATCAGATTTATTAAAACAATTTGCAAGTTATATTGATTGGAATTTTTTCTTATGTATATATACACCATCGCATACTAATAGCATTCTTTATGCTTGATTACTATAGTAAATATTTGATAGTATTTCTTAAGGTTGAATATACACATTTATATTACTAAGTAAAACATTTGAAATAGAACAAATACGATTAATTTAAATGTAAAATTGTATATTTACAAATTAGTGAATCATTGACTTATCTGATTAATCAATTCTTTTTTTTTGTATTGGTCTCTTCTCGAATAAATTTATATAAAAATCTGCACTATTTCACGTTGTCAAAACGAACAAATAGCCTTGATTACGTTGACGAAAAACACAAAAATGTCAAGTATCTGCTATTAAGTTCGTTGTTTTTTCTTTCATTTCTGTACTCGAAAACATATGATAAACAAAAGAATCGATGTCATTTCGCATTAGAGTACAAAACACGTTTTGTTTATACATCGTCATTCATCATTACGGACAAATAACAAAATCTTTTTTATTTTAGTTTGATATGTAGCGAATTACAATCAATAACAAAATAAATTCTTTACGAATATAAAGTATTTTATTTTTTCATCACATTTCTGAAAATTATTTCAAAATGGACAATCGAGATTTTTGGCCATATATGCGAGTAGCAAAACTGGTAAGGTGTTTATAGGGAAGAAAAAAATTAGTTCTCGAATTTTAATTTTAGCCTGAATTCAATCCATTATTTATTTCATCATCATCATCTCCATCTCGACCTCCATCTTTATTATCTCGGTGTATTGACCAAATTCGAATATTTTATCGTTATTGTTATGTACATTTATATGATATTATTTTCTCAACTTTATTTGGTTATTTAACATTAAATGAAAAATTATATGTTGCTATACATGAAAATGATTTATTTGAAGCTCGAAAACTTCTATCACATGGTGCGTCACCATCGTATATACCTATTGATTATACAACGATATTTTCACATATTATAAAAAATAAACATGAACTTAAAAATTATTATGTAGAAAAAAGTCTTTTTGATTCTATACTTGCTAATGATAGTATGTTATATATGGCTGTATCAAATAATAATTTTAATTTAGTTAAAGAATTAATTGATTATCATGATTATGGACATAACGGACAGCATACAGAAGTTGTTTCGTTATGTTTAGCTGTGAAACGTTGTTATACAAATATTGTTGAATATCTTATTGATTATGGTCATATTAATCCAAATGATTGTGTTGAACCCGGTTGTAAACATTGTAAAACTCATTCCGACGATATACACCGTTATCAATATCCTCTCTATCGTAAGAAATAATTTAGAAAAGATAGAAAGAATTGTTTTCTCTTTTTTTACTATTTTAATAGATGCGTGTCGACAAAATCATATTAAGATTGTTAAATATTTAGTTGAATTAAAACAATGTGATATAAATCAATTAACAACTACTTATGAAACATGTTTACATGGAGCTATATTTGGTGCTGTTGACAATCGTTTTGATTCATCATTTAGTAATCAACAACGTTTCGAAATTGTTAAATATCTTTTAGCAAGATCGAATTGTAATCCTGATCTTGGTAAGAATTCTTATAATAAATACTGTATATATAAGAGAACGAAAACCAACCATTTCTTGAAAAGCGTCTAACGATCTTTGGTTAGAATTTATTATTTGATGATGACAGCCATGATGTACAACTATCCTCTTGTCTTGATATCATATTTTGATGTACATTTAAGAGATAAGACATATGATTGAACATAGGATCTAAAAGATAACTTTTGTTTAAAGGACGAGGGCGGATAAGGCCGTTTTTCTGCCCTCCAAAATATTTCGGCTTCTTGTGTTGAAATCAGATAAGGGATGTCGCTTGATGATATTCTAATGATTAGTTGTGCAACAGATCTCAATCGATTTTTCGATCCACATCCGTACTCCTTTATAGGGACGGCTGAAACCAAAACATTATAAAGGACAACAAAACGACCTTAACTCCCTTCGCAGGGACTCTGATTAAAGGGAGGTTGGGAGAGTCTAACCTCCGCAAAATTCGAAAAGCTGTCCGTCTTTCTGCCTAAGTTTCTAAAGTTCTGCTGAAAACTTGATCCGAAATCTGGTTTTTATACTATTTTCGCCATTTTTCCGCCAGAAACTCCAATAAAAACACTTTTTTCGGTCAAAATTCCGCAGAAAGTGTATAGCTTAAGTTTTTTCTACATTATATGCGTCAGAAAGCTATATGACGGCACTTTCTGGCAATTTCTATCCCCCCGCACTTTTGAAAACAATCGGAAATCCTGCGCCCTTGTTCTTTATGAAGTATTAGAATGAGCTATTAGCAAAACATGATGTTTTCTATTTGTTTAATAATAATTCTTTATTTTCATATGTATATTAACTAGGTCTCAATCCATTATGTATTAGTCTTGCTCATGATTATATTTATGATTATACTAGTTTATTACTTTCTTATAAATGTAATGTTAATCGACTTGGTTGGAATCTTTATGAAACAAAATCAACAAGTGAAAAACAAAATAATCAAATATTATATTCACTTGATCATCCATTAAATATTTGTTTACGTCGTTTATGTAAAGCAAATGATAATACAACAATAGCTGATCATTCTTCTCATAAACAGCATGCATTAAAATTAATCAATGATGGTGCGAATATATATGCAATGTATAACTATGGTTCGACTTATCCATTTTTACTTGCTATTCAAACTGGTGATAAAATAATAATTGAAGCAATATTACAAAATGCTAAATCATATATACGTTTGGATATTATTGAACCACTTATAATTGCTTGTACAAAATCATATCATGATATTGTTCAACTCCTTGTCGATTTTGGTTTTAATCCAAATACAATAATGATAAATCAAGTTAATACGAAACTTAAAAATCGTAAGAAAAAAACATTTTCAATTTCTACATAGATTTATTAATTGTTCTATTTAGCTGTGTTAAACGAAATAAGTTCACTAGATTTCTTGACATATCTCGATATCTACTGTACATCTTCTTCTGAATCATCGATACCAATGAGTTCTTCATTATCTCCAATAGAAAACAATCGTTCATACACATATATTAATTATGAACAATATGTAACACCATTTTTAGCTCTATCACGTACATCTCCATGGTTATTTCATCCTGATAAATACGATTCAACAATGAAAACAATCGAAAATCTTATTTCACATATTTCAATTGATTTTACAATTCGTCCAAATCGTTTTGCATTCTATTATGCATTATTAAATGAACATATGCCAATTGTTTATTATTGTTTAGCAAATTTTTGTCCAATAGATCTACTTAATTCTACAATTGATTTTACACATTCGTCATTAAAAACACATTTTTCATATACATTATTTCACTTAATATCGGTTTGTTGCCGTTTAACATCAAGTAATCGAATAAAACGTATTTTATTTGATTCATATGCTAAAGCAATATTACGAATTCATACATATGATCGCATTTCATCAATGGCAAGTGTTGTAGCTTATATGAGATTATGGTTAACTGATGAAGATTTTGTTTGTGATCAAACATTATTTGAACATCTTATGTCATTACCATATGTTGATGATCTAGTTGAAGTATATGATGAGAAAAGTTTACGTACATTATTTGGTATGTATTATCAACGTTTCATTGAACATAAACCACGTTCAAGACCAATGTGTACACTTAAACAAATATGTCGTACAAAAATTCGTTCTTTTAGTCAAATTAATTGTGAACATCAACAAGTAAATATGTTAAAAATTCTTTCACAATTAGATTGTTTACCAAAGACTTTACAAGCTTATTTGTGTTATACTCGAATAAAATCAAAATTATTAATTAATTCTTTGTTAAACAATGAACCATGGAATACTATACAATGGATGTAATGATTTACGGGAAAAATAGTCAATATTTTGTTTTGTTTTTTATTGCAATAGTTTTTGCTTTTATAAATATTTCAGCAAAAATTTTAAATTGAATAAAAAAACAGTAACTGTGTACATGTTTCTATACATATTTTTTTAGTTTATAGATTAAGATTTTAAAAATCAAAAAAAGAGAAATTATGGCTTCTATGTCACCATGTACGATTGAAAAAGATGTTGTTGATGCTATGAAAAAGTTTCGACGATTATCAAATAAATCAACAATGGCTATGTTATGTAAGTTAATGTAGAAAATCTATTTTATTGATATGTTTGTATTTTTGATTAATAGTACGCTGTGATATGAAAACAAATCAAGTTGTAATTGAAAAAGAATTAAAAGTAAGTATGAGAAATACATAAGTAAATATTCTTATCGTCTAGATCATTTGGTTAAGATTTATTTCATTAAATAACTTAAACAATCTAATATGTTACAAGATGATTCAGTATAAGGTTATGCTTTTATGTTTAATTCTATACGATCATGTAAAAATCTTAGTATCTAAAGTGTCTAATCATGAATTTTTCCCTATCAATACATTCATCGAGTTAATTGATTTTCAAAATATATACAGCAAGAACAAAAGTCTTTGACCTATGCATAGCTCTGGAAGTGCCTAGAAAGATTTTCCAAGTACTTTCTAGATCATAGGATGAGATTCATAGTAAGACAATAATCGCAAACACCGAGATTAAGTGATGAAGCAGTATTTGCAGAGAAGTTATCCGAAACGATTTACTAATCGTCAATCACTTGGAATAAAACAAAATCGATTTGGTGAAGTCTACAAAAGCACGATGTTTAGTTGTGATTGGCATGAAGAGAGAGAGTGCGGATCAACTATTAATTGTATCTTGTGCCATGCTTTACCTGTGGGTATACTTAATGTTGCTAGTCATTACTTTCATTCTAAAAAATATTTGAAACATTGATGACAAAAACCTTTGCACCCTATTATAATTTATCTTTAAATTGCAGGATACTAGTGTTGAAGACTTAATTGAGGAATTACCAAGTCGTGAACCTCGATTTATTCTACATAGTCATGAATTAAAACATGCTGATGGTCGAGTTCAATATCCACTTAATTTAATATTATATATTCCTGATGGATGCGGTACAAACAATCGTTTTACTTATGCATCAACAGCAAATTCAGTTTCAGCTGCATCAGGCATTACTCGTGTATGTTTTATATTTTGTATATATAAATAACAAAATATTCAAATTTTATTTTAATTTAGATTATTGAATTACGTGAGGATATATCAGCTGAATGGCTCAATAAAGAACTACAAAAAACCTATTAATAAAAAGAATGATTCTTATAGACAAATATCAGTCCAATTTTTTTTTCTAATTTCGTAGTTTTCTTATGTAATCAAATTTCTAAAATTTTGTACTTGATTCGTCTGATACTGCAGTATTATCTATACATAACCATATGTTTCCTTTTGCTTTGTGATTGACATGTGAAATTTATTTGTTGTGAAAAAAAAAGAAAGAGATAAAAATAAAATTACCATATAATCCAACGATTTAAATAAGAAGCTAATGGTAAAAGATGTTCATTAAATTGATTAGTTTGAACAACACAACAATCTACAGCACCTAAATTCTTATCAATTTCAAATAGTTCTTCGATTATTATATTAGACGGATCGGTAAAATCAATTCGTTCAATTATTTTTGTTGGATCACCTGATTGAGAATCGTGACCACCAATAATATATAATGATGAACCTTTGTAAAAAAACAAACGACGAGAAATATTATTTATTTACTGTGTAAAATACAACTCTTTGAAAGAAAAATAAATAAACATTCTATGCATTATCTGTTTGAAAATATTTACAGAACAAAATCTATTGTAATCATTGCAAAATACTTAGTCATGATGACAAATATACTTTCCTTGTCACAATCAGTTAGTTATCTCTGAAGGTTTATTTACTCATTGTCTTAAATATTTGATGGACTTACAACACACCACCTTTGTACTGAATTTTGATGAGTTAAAAGAACGCGATAGTTTTCTTTCTAAAACGATTATGTCAAGTCATGCTTATTTATTCTAAAACTATTTGACTTGATGGATTTACTTTTGTACCTATGTGAATAGTAACATACGGCTTGATATAACTGAAAATTTATATTCTAAATTTATTTTTCTCTATTATGTGAAAATCTATATTATCAAATCATGTGTAAGATTATAAAATTGGCTTTTCTGGCTTAATTTTAAAACTTCGCAATTAAGGGTTAGTATATACTTCAAACGCATATGCACATTTCTCAATGATCATATGATGGAAGAAAAAAAACAACTGAGTAAAATGTAATGTTTACTGTAATTCCAATATGAGTCATGTTATCTTAACATATCAATGTCCTTATATCATGAAAGATAATAAACTAGATAAATATGGCATAATTGAAATAGTTTGTTTTTTATTACTATCGATGTCGATAGAAAATATCTAAAGTTGTCTTCTATAATTAACTATTCTATTCATTTTGAAATAGGAAAAAACGCAATAAGTATTAATGAGCAAAAACACCTACACATTTTCTAACTTTACTTTAATCATAAACTAATAAAACAACTACACCCCCTATGACCTTTTTTTTAGTATAAGTACGTTAATAGAGAATTTTTTTGTTACTCTTAGAACAAATATTCTTTTTGTTGTTTTTACCTAATTGAAAATAACCACAATCGGTACGTGGGTGTTGTAATTGATCACTAAGTTCTTCCCACTCAGGCGCACTTTCCGGTGAATGATTACTAGCACGTATGATTGTTTGAATATTCTGAACTTCATCACCATTTTTATGACATCCTATATTTAATAAATAAAATGTCAGATTAATAAAATATTTACTTCAACGAACCACCAAATATTAACGCATTGTTATTAAAAACAGTAAAACAATGTTGTTCGCGTGGGCTAGGTAACGTATAATTTGTTAATGAACGTTTCCATTCATTGGGTCTTGGATCAACAACACTACAAAAAGAAATAAAAATATATTCCAAAATAAACAAATAATTTATTAACATGAGTTCATCAGTCGATTTCGCTTCAATTAATGAACCAGCACCACCACATGACCATAATTTTTCATGAATTGTACAAGATGCATTATTTCGTTTTGGTTTAGCAAATATACCAACTTCTTTCCATGTATTAGCTTTCGGATCATATGCTTCAACTGATTGTACAATTACCCCTTTCAGCCCTTCTCCACCAATTACATAAATTTTTGATTCAAAAATAGTCACCGCAAAATTAGCACTATATATGCAGAAAGAAAAGAATATAGAGACGAAATAGATAAGAATATAAATACCGTGGTGCTTTCATTGATTCACATGCTCGCCAAAAATCAATTTCAGCATCATATTTAAAAACTGAATTTGAAAGATGTCCTGTGGATGAATAACGACCTCCGATAATATAAATAGAATTTTCAAATGATATAGCTCTGAGTAGAAAATATATATTGTTTTTAATATGTAAACTAGATTTCAGAAAGAATTGCTACCTGTAATCAATAAGATCACGCATAAAATATAAAGTTGTTGATAATAACATCGGAGAGATTTGTTCATCTCGTTGTGCCATTAAATACGGAACATCACATGACGGTTGATTTCGAGAAAATAATAATATGAATGTTATTTTCTGTTCATTAGACGATTCTGTAGTCATATTAATAACGTTCAAATTAAGAAAGTTATATTTTTTCTACTAGTTATATTTGAGTATACAAAATTTAGTAGCAAATCTTTGACATTTATTCTTTCTTTCTTTTTTTTTCTTAAATGTGCAGTCTCGAACAACAATAACAATAACAACATCAACGGCAGCAGCAGCAGCAACAAGACATTGAGATCAATTTTAAAAAACACACACAGAGGCACTCCAGTTTTCTTTTTAATGATCATAGTTACGAGTATTGAGTGAGAAAAAGAAAAATGCAAGTAAATGGCTCGATTTTTGCCTTTATGTAGTTAATAGGCAAGAAAGAGAAAAAAGAACGTGCGATTGACGTCATTTGGAACAATTTCAGTACGAGCAAAAAAAAACAAGCATAGTTTTAAATATACCTCAACAAAGAATATATATATCTATTTAATTAGTATGACAGAAATCGAGAAATAAATGTCTATTTGATGAGAGTATGATTTTATGACAGCCATATGTCGAAATCTTATCTACCTTTACATCATATGTCAATATACTATATTCATTACTATGTTTTTTTTATTAGGTTTTAATGCGTCATTAAGATTGTTTTTTTTTTGGCTAAGAAAAAATGCAACGTGATAAATATACTTTGTAGAACAATATTTATTTAAATTTTTGCTATGACAGTATGACAACAAGGAAGTTATGATATATAGAAAAAAAATTCTTTTTAAATAATTGCATCGAGTTTGAGAGAGCGAGAAAGAAAAAAATAATTAATGTACTTTTATTTTTCTCAAACGAATGAAAAATATATAAATTAATAGTGTTGAGTATGAAGAACCAAAACGGGGTAAAAAAAGAGAAAAAGAAAACATCATGAGTCAAATAATAATTTTGCCACACTTTTATGCGCGCCCTCGCGTCTGCCTTCTTTTACCCCTATTGTATTTTTTGTCTTTTTTTTTATAACAGAATATATATCGTAATACAGAAAAAAAAGACTGTATAATTATACATTCTTGCTGTCGTCATCATTCGACTATTGATAAGCAAGTGTGTTCGAGCCCATCGACGAGTGTCAAGAGTAGCAGAAACTAAATTTTATATTTGAAGACAGAATACAAAATAAGGTATTTATTATAATATTATCGACAAAAGCGCAAATAGAAGATTTCTCTTTGCGTTTATATTTAATCATGACGAGATTGAATCAATATGAAGAATCATTCTTCTTTTATCATAATGACACTGTTTTATAGACATAAACATCGATATGTAAAAGAAAAATATCGTTCGATCGAGGTATTCGATCATGTGATTAAAGTTTTCGTATTTATACATCTATCATCTGACATATGACGATTATATGTAATTCTTTTGAAGAATATGATGGTATGAAATTATATTTTCGGTTAGTTTTCTTTTTAAATAAGATCTTAGGAAAACATGTTCTTTTAAATGATAAAAATAGATTCTTAACCAGATAATATATAACGAAAAACATTTCTATATTTATAATAGAAATAGACTACGGTTAGTCTAGCATACTATTCTCATCGTAAAATATCGATTATCGTTTACAGGGTGTGTCCATTAACTAGAGTAACTTTAGTACGAAAATATTTCTTTTTTTATTTTTCTATTGAAAACCCTCATTTTCTAAGCACCAGATGCTTATCATTAGATGCCTGATAAACATATATTATATATTCACGCGAAGTAACTTTATGCATGCAATGATTTTTATTCAAAAAAAAGTAGCGAGATAAAAAAGAACGAGAGAGAAAAAGAAAAGTGGGCGCGCTGATACTACGTATTTATCTCAGTCAGTTTTATCTTAAAATTTTCTATATAACTAACACACACAATTCAGATTCTTTTTAAATTTAATTATCGACAACGAATAATGAATAATTCAGGTAAGGATATATATATCTTAAGAGTAGAAAATCTTCTATTCTTTACCCTTAAGAATACTTCAAATCTTGTGTTCATATGAACCTATGACATCTATCGGGATTATCTCGCTAATTTTTTTTTTATAATATTACATCCTAAAAAAACCATAATTTTTTATTAAATTCTATAAACATGCGAAATTATTATTATTATTATTGCTTTTCTTCTCGTTCTTTCTGTGTCCTTGTCAGTAATTATTAAAAATAAATAAAATTTTATAATAAACAAGTAAACATGTCAAAAAGTCTAAGAGAGGCAGTATAAAAAGTGGATATACATCATCAATAGAAAGCAAAAAAGAAAACAGGAGAGTTTTTTTGTGTTGATTAAGATTTAATTTACAATGTAAGTTAGAAAAAATTCATTCATTCATTAATTTTATTTATTTATTTTTTTAAAGGTATGAATTCTTTTGTCAGTGAATGTATTTTGGCTGAAAAGAAACTAAATATGTTATCTAATGTCGAGAAATCTTCTTCAAATTCCAATACGAGTACTTTTAGTAAGAATATCACAAATGTTAATCAAACAATAATATATCCTTCATCTGAAAGACGATTATCTTTAACAAAATTATATAATTGTTCTGAAACAATATCATCAAATTTAAATGAAAATATTCTATTTATTGTACCGAAACAATTTGTAGAATTAATTTCACAAAATTCTAATATACATGAACGAAAATGTTCACCTGTAGTCATTGATTGTCGTTCACAAATAGATTTCGGGTGTGAACGTATACATTCATCATTTAATATTAACTGTCGAGCAAAATTAATAGCAAGAAAATTAGGATCAAAACGTTTAGAAGATATCGAACCAAATTTATCTCTATCATTAAATAATTCTGATATTGTTATTCTATATGATCAATCAACAGACATACGATCGGAAGAGAAACTACGTTCATCACCATTAAATCTCGTTGTACAAGCCGCAAAAAAATCCAATAAAAAAATTTATATTATTCAAGGTAAGCGCGCATAATGAAATAATATGTATTAAAGAGAAGAAAAAATAATTTTAGGTGGGTTTGATGCAATTAAAACACAATATCCACATTTAATTGAATGTGCTGTCGAAGCACCTAGGGATAAATATGAACAAGATCATTTGCCGTCTACGCCAGACACAGTGGATAAAGAAAATTTTACTATGACGGAAATATTGCCCCACATATTTGTTGGTAAGTAGATTTTTTTTAAAAATCTATTTTTATTTCGAGTAGATTGAATAATGAAAAAATATTTGATTTTCATTCGCATTGGAATCTCAAGGATACGAAAAGAAATAATTGTCATGGCAAAGATTCAATTGAAACAGTGACAAAGGACGAAGAAAAAAAAATATATGCAGATGTCAGAGAAACAAAAGATTATATTACACTACATCATTCAGCAAATAGACTAGAAAATGAATAATAAAATAGAAAAAAAAAGATTGTTTAAGATGTTCAAGGTTAAAATGATAAGAAATGAAAAATGCTAGAATATTTTTTTTTCTTTAGGTAATGTACACGATGCACAAAATCTTGATCGATTGAATGAAAAGGGTATAACACATATCATAAATTCAACACCTGATTTACCTTGTTGTTGGGATAAACAATATAAATATATTCGAGTAGATGTACTTGATTTACCATCACAAAATATTCGAAAGCATTTTGATAAAGCTATTGAATTTATTGGTTAGTTTTCAAATAATTTATCTTTGAATATTTATAAACAAAAAATATTCATTCATTTCATAAATCTAGATGAAGCATTATACAAAAAAACTAACAATGTTCTTGTACATTGTTCAGCTGGTATTAGTCGTAGTCCAACATTAGTACTTGCTTATATGATTAAAAAATATCATATGACATTAGAAGAAGCGTTTAATAAAATGCGTCAACTACGTCAAATAGTAGATCCAAATGTTAGTTTTATTATTCAATTAAGAGATTGGGAAACAAAATGTTTATCAAAAACAACAACAGGAGAAACAGCAGATGATAATATTAATCATGCATGTATTAATGCAAGGCCAAATACATATTGTGGCTCAACATCAAAACAGAAAACAGATACAAAAAAACGCATCGAATCAGCTATTATTGTTAACTAGTAAAAAAAATATAGAAGTATATTTCAAAAGAAAAAGAAAAAACATTATATTAATAATAGTTGGTGAAAAAAGATGCAATGTTTTTTTTCATATTTGTTACCGATTATGTATAAATACATATATATATATATTTCGAAAAAGATGAGTGCCATCTTTTCCCTTTATTTTCGTTTTCAAAACAAAGACTTGTGTATATGAAGTAACGCTCTTTATTTCTTGTTTTTACAAGAATATCGTTTTTTCTATTAAAGAATTTCAAAAATTTTACACTAATTCTTCCATTGTCTTCTCTTTGCATCATTTCTTTCTTTCGTTCGTTCGTCCTTTGTTTTCGTTGTTTTCTTTTTCTTTTATTGATCGATATATTTTTTTTTGTATATTATTTTCGGTAGTGTGATGAGAGAGCAAACAATATTTGCTCTTGCTTTAAGCGTTCCTTATACGTCTCGTGGTTCATGTTTGATCCTTTAGACGATATTCATTGTTTTGTCATATTTTATTATTCTGTATATTTGTGCATTGAAAGGTGTACAATGATTATAGCAAAAAACAAAAAAATAATTTTACCAGTTTTTTTTCAATCAATGAGAGCTCAAATGTAAGAGAAATTGCAATACATCCTTATATATATTCTACTCATTGACATAAACGGTATGGAAAAAATTTATTTTATTATTAAATATTTGTACGACTGTCTATTAGTGTAACTTATTTGATAAAAATGAAAATTTTCAGGACAAGTTACGCAATCATAGATGCATGTTTGATAGGATGTATATATGTGTGTGTGTAATCAAAGCAAATACAAGAAAAATAAACTAAGGATTCAGTGTATTTTGGTAAGAGTATATACAAAATCACGTACCGAATCAATGAAAAACTTTAAGATAATTATCAATTATTCAAGGGTGAGACTTTTCACGCCTTGTACCAGTTTTATTAATTAAATCATTATTTATTTGTTTTTTTTCCTTTCTACTTTATTTCTTTTATAGAACCGATTCCATAAGAATATTTATTTATTGATCAAAGATTAAAGATATTTTTTTGCTAGTTTCGTTTTTTTTCTTGTATCACGAGACATAAATTATGTAAAAATCAAATCTATATTAATCTATCTGTCCATCTCTCTAAGCCAGGTTTAACCTTGATAACTTATAGACAGAACATGTCTCCTTGATTCAACGAATACCTTATCCATCACAAATACTTTTCAGCTCATTACATGACATAAAAATCCATCATTTAAAAACTGTCATTATTGATATAATAGGAAGAGACTAACAAGTAAAAAGGTATTTATCGTCAAACTAAATAAGAATATCCAATATAAACAAATGAAAAAATTACGTATTTATCATGGTTATTTATATAAATTTGAAGGTTATAAAAGAATACAGAAGCTACGCTTATTGGTCTCGCTGTTCATCATCTTTTTTTTTGCTCTGTTCGATAAATTCAATTCAGTTAGTTATAATGCAATGTATGCATAGATATATATATATATACGTGTGTGTGTGTATACGTTTTATATATATATATGTATATGCAAACTGTACGATGAATGTAACTGGATGTCGTCGTCGTCTCGGTTAAGTTGAATTTCATTTGGTAAAGTCTTTTCGAGGGACACTTAAAAGCACTCATTCGAGCGTGTCCATGAGACAAACGAAACGAAACGAATGAATAAAGGTGGTTGTCACTTTACAAATAAGAAGCCACCCTCGTTTACTAACGCTAGTAGCAATGATCCTCACCTATCTATCGGCTTTTTTCTTCTATTCTCTATTTCATTTTTTTTCTTTTAACGGTAGAAATAAACATTGATGCTTGATAAATCATATTTTATCATTGTCGTTATATTCATGTTACACTCATTACTTTCCTTTTTTCTTTTTCTTATTGTTCTCATCAATGAAATATCATATGTATAATCAATCGAATGTAATAATTTATTTTGTTTTCTTTTTCATAACTATAGAATATGCCGACTAGTGTACGGTACAGTTCTGCACAGCCGGCACAACAACCATCGCAAACAACTCATTACAACTTCCAACCACCACCACAACAACAACAACAACAGCAACAACAACAACAGCAGCAACAACAACAACAACAACAAATACAACAACAACATCATCGACATCATCATCATCATCACCATCATAATTCTCATCATTCATCACCCACACCACAAAATCAAAGTATTAATTCTTATTCTAATCATCGTTTAAATTCTAATAATAATAATATTCATTCTCAACAAGCATCGACAGCAAATCCATCATCACCAAATCAATCTTCAGCTTATTTTCTTGATCGGGTTGATTTAGAAAATTATACGACACATACATTAAAACAGACAGTTGAAACTATATTATCAAAGACAAAATCTAAAGGTTAGTCAATATAAAAAAAAGAAAGACAAAGTACTTATTTATTAATCATGATTCATTCTACTCTATATTTATCCTATTAGGTTTAAAGGTAAAATTGTCCTTACCTGATGATGGCCTAATTATTGATAATATAACTGATCCAACACAATCATGGATATTTAAAACACCAGAATTATTATATTTTTGGCGTGATCCATATTATTTAAATATTATTGTTGTTGTTACAATCAATCGATCACGACATCATCTTAATCAACCTTATTCAGCATCGATATTTCGTTTACGGGGTACTGATTCTGCTCAATCATTTCTTCAACAAGCTCAACGATTTTTTGTTAATTTATCTGGATCTGTTAGTGCATCAAGTGTAGCTAAACCTACTGTTAGATATAAATCCGTTGAAAAACAACCACGACGTGAGAATCAAACTATTGATCATAATACATTATCTAATCATAAAACGAAAACAAAATCACTTTCAATAATAAATGAACAATCAGCTTTTACACCAAAAACATCTTCGAATCGTAATCAATCACCACCACCATCAACATCATCAACAGCTATTCGTCGTGTTACACGTGCTGAATTTGATCCTGGTAAATCAACAGCAGCAACAGATTCAATGATTAGTAGTAATCATAATCGAACATATAGCGAAACAGCATCATCAGTTGATTCACAAACAACAAATTCAACAAAAGAAATTTTATCCTATACAAAAAAAATGAATCGTGGTGATGATGATGATGATAAATTAACAATATTAAGCAATAATTTATCAGGTGATCAAATCGTTGAATTAATGCGTGAATTAAAAGAATTACGAAGTGAAATAGCTTCATTAAAATTAGAGAAGAGAATATCACATGAAACACGTTCAATGAGTACAAGTCCATTTGCTGGTCATCGTGATAATTCCAAAGGAACATTAGATAAATCAAATACAATGTCATTATCATTATATCCTGATATAACATCACAATCAGAAGTTGATGCTGAAACACAAACTGATTTTAGTTTACTTAATCATAGACGAAGACAATTATTGAAAAAAAATAAAAAAACAATGATTGGATCAGGCAGTATAACAACATTAAGCAAAAAAACTGGACAACAAACAACAAGTGTACGAAATGGTAGAAGAACGTTTTCTAATAGTTCAACAAATACTGTATCTGATCAAGAAGGTAAATAAAACAATTTCACAATTGTAGATGTTTTTTCGTTTAATTTCTCCACACTTTTTCATTAATATTAGACTACAAAATATTTGTCATTTTCATTGATTTATAAAAATAATAAATCTATAAAAAAACAAAAAAAGATATTTCAAAAGATTATTCTATTATTCTTGACATTCGTTGGATAGGATAAAATCTGTTTTTCTCCCTTTAATAAACTCTAGTGAGAAAGAATATATATATGAGAACAAAACTAATCTTTTATATAGAAACAGCACCGGATCTTTCTTCTCAAGTGAATGATTTACCAAATGATAGTTCAAATACATTAGTTAATCAACAGCAACATTCATCTATGACATTAACAGCACCACCTCGTCCTGTTTTAATAAGAAATAATCAAAATAATTTTCTTGCTTTAAATAATTTGACATCTTTTACAAAATCGAATGGGAATCAAATAGTACCTAATTCAAATCCTACAGAAGAAGGTTTATCATTGCATGGTATACCTGTAATGATTGAGAAAGAAATTGACGATTTTCTTTCAAAAAATATTCCTTCTTCAAATACAGATCTTCTTGCACCTCAAATACCAATAATCAAAGTAGGAACAACAAGTTTTCGTTCATCATCATCATCATCAGAAAAAAAACCGAAGCTTCCTACTGATCATATCTATGAAAATGTACCTATTTTAATACAAGCAAAAGGAAATCGAGAATCTTTTTATAATATACCTATTATTAATGTGGATGAGCAACAAAAACAACAACAACAGCAACAACAACAAAATCCAACAGAGAGTTATATTTATTATACGCTCACTAATAATCCTGATTCCGAGTCTCAACAACAATATATGATACCGGGACAAATTGTTAATAATACTTCTGCACCAAATGATAGTAATCCTGCTGATGGTCAAATAGCTTCAATAAATTTTCAACCACAAAAACCACAAATCATATCTGTTGGTCGTCATCGAAATCAACCGATTTATTTTGCTAATCATTTAACAAATCCAATATTTAATGTTGATAAACAATTATTAACAAATACAATTGCTAATCAATTTGGTGTTGATCTTAATTCACCACAATTACAACAATTAGTTACAAATCAACATTTATTTGCTACACGTAAACGTACATTTGCTAATATGGTTTGGCAATTAACACCTGATGAAGAAAATGCTCTATGTTCATCACCAATAACAACGCAAACGGAAATTATTGATATAGATACATTTGATTCAAGTAATGGAACATCATCTCGATCAATATTAAAAGCAACAAAACGTTTTCGTCCAACAGCAAAACGACGAAGTATTAGTTGGGATAGTGCTTTAGAGTAGTACTAATTTGTATATCTATGTTGCTATATTTGTTCCGTACGACATATTTTTGTATTATTCTTTAGAATAATCATTATTAAAAAAAACATATTTATTATTAATAATGTAATACACTTATTTATTTTAATGGAGTATTTTTTCCAATCAGTATAATTACGATGAAAATTTTCTTTTACTATATTAAGTCTAGAAAATATGACTCCTTCAATAACCGTATCGTTTATAAACAAATCATAAAAAGCAATTTGTGTGCAAGACACATTATACGTTTCATGTGTGAATATATATCATTTGTTAATATTAAATTATTTTCTTTTTATATGTATATATACATGTTCAAAATATAAAAAGCAATTTAATGAACAATGTGTTAAAATAATATACATTTCTTTTATTGAAAGAATTCTTTTGTAAGATATATATACGCAATATAATTAGATTATGTAGAGCAGTTTAGATAAACGATTTTTCTTATTATTTGACATGTAGTATCTTTAAAATGATCTAGTCTTTTTTGTCTGGGCAATGTGCATAGGAATATGTCGTAAGATTGAATGAAAGAATATAAAAAATGATGTAAGAATAATATTGTCTGTGCTAAAAAAATGAGATAAGAACAGTATGATGAACGAGTCGAATTATTTTCGATTTACTCGAATCAAAACATATAACTTTCGTAATCGTTCGTATGTGTTTTTGTAATGATGGATTGTATAAAGGATATTTTATTTAAATTTTAAATAGAAATGGGTACATTTAGATATAGTTCGTAATACTGATAAAATCATTTTTTTTGTTATTAAATTTCATGAATGTCTTAAGTCTTTTCGTAATCATAAATGTATTCATTTTATTTTGTAAGAATTTGATCTAACAATTATTTAGATGAAAAATTTTATAGAGTCTAGTTTCATTGATAATGATGAACTTCTAACAAATCTAATACTATTCTATATAGATTTCTAGTTGTTTCGTACATCTAACAATCATTAGTTGATCACTGTGTGTTGTTCATAACGATTGATTAGATTCTATATTAAAATGTATGCCTATAAAATCATACGAATAAAAATATTCAGTTTTCGATTGAAAAAATTTAAATAGCACGAAGACATGCTTTGATTTATTATGATAAGTTATATAAGATTTGACATTACATTAACTTTATATATTTTCTTTCATAAACATGTTAAAATATTATAAAGCTACTGACATAACAGTTGGATTGTTTACAGCCAGTTGATGTGTTTTATGTGACTAAAAATATATATTTAATAATTATAGCAAATTAATCTTGAAAAAATAAAAACATACCGAATACAATAATTTATAAAGTTCCACTGATGCTCCTCGATAACTATTACGTCGAATAATTAAAATACATGATATTAAACTAAAAAGAAAATAATTCATTTCATATTTTGAATAAAATAAATTCATATATTTACATTAGAATTAATACTAGTGGAACAATAACTACAGCACTAGTAAGTTTGAATAGAAGTTGAACTAAAATTCGATTTTGAACTTGTGAAAAAACATTGCGAACTGAATAATACAAATAAAAGTCAGGTTCATGACTGTACAATCGAAATGGCCCACAACCACGTGATGGTCGAAGTCTAATTAATAAAAATTTGATTTGATTTTGTAAAAAATTCAAAACTTACGATGTTGAAAGAAAAGCAATTGGTAATAAAGCCCAGACAAAAGAAAAAAGTAGCACACTTGTAAATATATATCGAGCTCGAGCAGGACTTAATTCCAATCCGGATCTTTTTCGAAAGAAAGCTAAACTTAACTAAAGACAAAAATTTTAACAAATGTAATTAATCATTTATTTTCTATTTACTGATTTAGTAGCAAAGATAATTATATTTTTAACTGCAGCAATTAATGGTAAATATGGACAGAAAAGTATTCCATGCCTAAAATTTATTAAATAAAAATTTCTTTATTAGAAAATTTCGTATGAAAATTTACCAGCATAATGTTTGCGAATAGGTTAGATCTAATACATAATCTCCTACTTCAAATTCTAATGGTTGAAATAGAAACCAAGTTTTAGGTGCTGCATGAATTTTTATTGTCGTTCCATCTTGTTCTTGTACAACTTGTTCGGGAAAAAAACAGCGTCTTAATAAACTAAAATAATCTCATTTTTAAATTCGAAAATCAATCATTCTATTATCTATTACGTTCGTATTGGATCAACAATAAGATGAACAATTAACATAACAACTGTATCTGTAAGAACCAATCTATAAATAGCTTGACCAATTAATGTTTCCCAACACTACACATAAGAATGAAATCATATTGTTTGATTAGAAATAAAGATATTTTTTACATGTATAAAAGTTGCTTTGCCTTTAATTTCTGCGCATTCAATTAACTCCGATTGTCTTCCACATTGATTGCTATTACATGTTATTTGTAATATGATAATAAAAACAAAAGAAAAAAGTAAAACTAATCGCATAATAATGACTCTATGAAATAAAAATTTAGTTCGTATTTTTTTATAATATTCAAATGTTAACATAAATACCTGATTAAATAATGTCGAAGAGCACTAGTACGTGTATATAATTTAAAATCTCTCATATAAGCAAAGACTAATTGCGATGTTAAATTAATTACTGAAACTATTATGGAAGGTAAGTATTCAATAAGCATATCGAGGAAACGATTTGATCCAGTTACATCATTGTTCATTTCTTTTTTTGCTCTTTCCTATAGAAATATGAATATAATATTATAATTATTGATTAAAAAACAAACTTGAAAGGAAAATCGGTGAGTAAAATAAAGAATAGTAATTGCTCCACCAAATATAATAATTGTAATAAGCCAAAGACATAGACGTTGAATTTGAAAGATAATTTTATCTTTTGCTCGTTCAAATTTAAAACTTCGTTTATCATCAAGTTCAAATAAAATGTTTTTTATTTCACTTTTAAAACGTTGTTCATGTCGACGAGCAAGAACATTATGAACAGAACGATAATTCCATCGAGCAAATATATATTGAAAAAGATTATTTTCAAATGATTCATTTTGTACATAACTTTTTCTCATACCATCACCAAATCTAAATCGAAATTTAATAGTTCTTTTTTTTCTTAACATAGAAACAAAAAAACTATTTACTTTCGAACAATAATAATACCCGTTACTAAAAGACAAGCAAATATTGTTAAAAATACAGCTAAACCCATATTATATGTTTGAAAATAAGATCCATCATCATTCGATTTCGTTAAATTTCGATAATAACCAATAAATAATCGATTGAGAGTGAGAGATCCCTAGAAATGTAAATCAAATTTAGGATATAAGAATCATAATGAAAATATACCGTTCCATCAATAAGATCGATTAAATATTCTGTCCAATCATTCTCACCATCACGTGATGAATTTACGAAATATGATTCTGTATGTAATGAACAACAACTACTAGCAGTATAAGAATTATCTAAGCATGAATTATTAGAAACATTATCTTGACTTGATAATGGTATATTAAGCGATTCACATTGTGGATCAGTTAATGTACACTGGTCAGAATAATTATATATTGGAATATCATTGATTTTATTATATTCATTCATTGCATACGAAGAAAATTCTATTGAATTTGGATAGATATATGTTGGCATTATTATACAGGTAAAACAAAGAATAAATGTAAAAATATTTAAATAAAATAACCAAACAATAAATTCAAAATAAGAACGAATTGTAAAACCACTACGATCTAAATAGATTATAATAAGATAAATCTTTTCCCTCAACAATGTATCATTATTTACGTTCAATAAAACCCAATAAGGATTGAATTGGTGATGGAATTTTTGAAAATAATTTTGTAAATTTTGCTGTAAAAGATTCTGTATTCTATTAATGAATAAAAAATCAAGTAAAAAAAACGTTATATGTATTATTTAATTACTTTTTTTATTTTACTTTCATCAACGGGTGCAACAAGTTTAGCCCTATGTATAAAAGATTTTATATAACAATTCATTTTTAATAAATAATCCTTACCAAGCTTTCCGTCGTTTTCTTAAAATTATTTTCACTAATGGTGATTCAACAGCATGTTCGTGTTCCTTTGATATTAATAATATTAGTTTTAAAACAAAAAAAAAGATCTTTTATTTTATTTTTATACCTGTTCTGTAGTAGGAAGAAAAACTGCTACTGTTCGTTTATTGATCTGTGCTGAAGATGGTATAGAATCGAGTTCTATAGTATCAATTTCATCTGATGATAACTGTCTTCTTCTATGTTGACGATGACGATGACGTGATCGTACTGGTAATTCATTTGAATTCATTCTATGATGTACTTTTTGTGAGTGTTTAATATGATATTCTACGATAAAAAAATTGTCTACAGTATATGACCGATATATCACAACAATAACAAATATTCGTCGAGAAATTTTTTCTACGCTTGTTTTTTATTTTTATTGTTACTGATACGATACACCTTATCAGTATTATGATTGAGTCATCAGTCTAGAATTCTTCAGAAGAACGCAAAATGCAATAAAAATCAAAGCTTTCTGTTTTAAAAAAAAGTACGATACGAGTGATATTTTACTTCCTTGTATACTTCTGAGTCGTATAGTTTCATCACTTCCTTCTATTCATACTAATGAAAATACGATATTATTTGAAATTAATATATTTTCAACTTAATAAAAGGCACTTTCATTACAGCGACTGCGCCCAGATGGTATTCGAAATTTTCGAACCACTGAGGCTGTGCAACCCTGGAATATCAAATCTGTGCCGCCGATTACTCTACCGGCTTACACTTCTGAATAAGTGTGTGAAAATTTCTTGTTTATTTGATTTTATTAATATAAAATAGTGATATATTTATTGACTACAATCTTAGAGAAAAATGAGTTAAATTTTATATGCAGTCACTTGACAATTAGCTGGATATGATCTTTTGCCTTCTTGAAATTCATATAAATAATCACCGTGTGCAAAAACTGCGATACGTTGTTCTGGTCGTTCTTGAATGAAATTACGAAATTTTTGCATACGTTCCCTTGTATATCCATCCGTTTCACTTTGACGTTTCTGATCATATTGCCACCACCAAATTCCATCCATTGGAATATTAGTCCAATCAAATGTATCAGGAAATTTTGGTTGTATGACATTTCGTTTTTGACCACAACTATAATAAGACGAACAAATCTCGGCGATTTCAGATAAAACAAGAATCGGTCCAGAATACGAAGGTGGTAAAGCATTTTGACATGTTTGAAGTGCTCGTGTTAATGGACTAACAACAACAAGATCAAGTTGTAATGCATCAAGTTCTTTTTGTAATGCTCTTGCTTGAGCAATACCTTGTTCAGTTAAGCCAGCATCTCGATAAGCAGATGATTCATCATAATCTCGATTAGCAAGAGATTGACCATGTCGAATAAGAAAAAGTGTTTTCGATGATGATTTTTGTTCATTACTCATTGTTTGCTTTTTTGCTGGCATTATTTATCTACAAATGTGCATTTTTATATATAGAAATTGTTAAGTTAGAAAATAATGTAGGATCTAAATTAAAATCTTCTGATGAAGATGAATTTAAATTTTCTAATTGTGTACAAAGATCAGTCATAGAATTATTATTATTATTAGCTGTTTGTGAAACACGATTTTTAAGTAAACGAATTAACTAGAAAAGAAAGAAAACGATTAAATTTGAAAATAGAAAAAAAAATTTAATATACTTCGAGAATTTCAGCTTTTACATTTGGTGACGATATTGTTCGTTTTTCATTCATCATCGATTGTAAACGACTTAATGCAAGAGTTAATGGTGTTGCACGACTTTTTGTTGCTGATAAAGTAGCACCAGCCCGAAGAAGAATACCAACTATTGCTAATCGACCACTAATACAAGCTAAATGTAATGGAGTATTTCCAAGAGAATCTTCAGCATTAACATTAGCACCATGATCGATCAATGCTTTTGCTAAAAAATATGTTCATATATATATTTAACTTTTAGTATTCATTTAATAAAACTTACCTATAGCTGCATCAAGTTTTGTTGAAGCAACATGCAATGGAGTGCGACCATATTTATCTGTAATACATGAATCAACACCTGACTGAAGAAGATCAAGTACTAAACAGATAGAATAAAATACCACTGAATTGATTAATTCTCTTTTTACCTCGATCATAGTCTTGAGCACTGACAGCATCAATTAAGGAATGTGTTTCTAAAATAAATTCAATTTTAAATAAGGCAACATCTTGAAATTATGTATTACCGCGATTTCCATTAACAAGATTAGGTACAGTTGCTCGACGTATTGATACACGTTCTCGTCGAGAATCTCGAGATTTACCAAGACAATGTGAAGATGACATTAATTCTGATTAAAATACAGTTATGGCATTTATTCCAAACTATATTATTATCAACTGTTTTTAGTCCTTATATTCAATGAATCATCAAACCAATTGCAGTTAAATAAAAGATGTCACTTTTTATCATTTATTTATATTGAAATAAAAGTATATATGAGAAGAAAATTGATCCTTATGAACAAGAAGTAGATTAATAGTCTTACATAATATATATATATATTTTAAATTAGTAATCGATTTAAATATTTACAATTGATAGATATTAGAATGTATCCGAAATAATCTTTATACTTAAGATTAGATTAGTTATAATCCAAAAAAAAAGGAAATCTATTGAGAATAAGTAACGCAAAAAGAATTAGAATAAAAATTTGAAACAGATATTATATCATTTTTTTTTCTCTTTAAATGAGAATTAAATCTCCTCAATGAGTTTTATATAGTTAAATTCGTACGAGTAATTCACCATTAGCATGAATAACACGCATAAGTCTAGGTAATAATTGTGGTTTATTCAAATTGGAATTATGATTATTATTTCGTATTTTTATTGGTGAAGATTTTTGTTCAGGATGAGTATGTGAATCTGTTTTAATATTAATGGAACGACGTGATGATGATGGTGTACGATGTCGTAATGATGTATAAAGTGAAAGCGAACGATCATTTTCGATTTTCATTTTGTCATAATCGATATATTTGGTTTTCAATGATAGATTTGGTGTTGTCAAATAAATATTATCAATTGATGATTGATATCGTTTATGACTATTTGATATTGTTCGTGTTAATGTCCATGTTTGTTCTTGTTCATATGAACTTAAAAATGGGTAGTTTGGTTTATTGACATTTAGAACTGAATAATATGTACAACATTGTCGTGCTTGTACTTTACCATTGTCATGTTTTGATTGTTTCATAAACCATTCAACTTGTTCAAGTGGCATCTCCAATTCTAGACGAAGACGTTAATAAAAATATAATCGTTTAAAATAATCTTTGAGTATACAAGCTGTTCATACGATGGAGATCAATAGAAAAAAAGAAATATGAGTATCGAATAAAAAAGACCTCTTTTTTATTTTTTCTCCCTCTCTTCTTTCTTTCGATTATAACTATATATATGGAAATTTGTCGTCTTTTTTTATATTTCTACCCTCATTCACCATTCATAAATACACATATAGTACCACAAATCATCATATAACTTGACAAGAAATAGTGTATTCTATCGTAAGTTATACAATTATCTGGATCATTACGTCATTAAAAAAAATGCGAAAAGAAACGATGAACAATTGTACTAACTGAACACCTATTAATAAAGAATCTCCTGCAGTGAGACTAGTTCTATTCTTTCTTTATCTACTTATAAAAGAATTCAGTCCTATATATATACATACATATTTTATGATTACAAAGTAAAGAAGGACATTTTATTTTATATTTTTTTTTGTTCTTTGCATAAAGATAGACAATCTTCATCATACACGACATACATATAAGTATTTGTTCTCGATAATAATGCAACACATAAATATACAAAAAAAAAAAAGAATCACGTGAAACAAGGTTGACGACTAAATTGATCAGTTAGATAAATGTATATATATAAATCAGACGAAAAAAATAAATAAATAAATCAAAATTTTGTCAGCAAGAAAGAAAATCTAATCATTCTATATTGTTACTACGGAATCTTTTTCCGTTTTAATCATATTTGTTTTTTCTGTACATTTTCGTTCAAGTTCAAGTAATTCTCTAGACAAATAAAAATAATATATATATATATCAAAAGAAATCTATTGACATACTGTCTTAATTTATTAACATATGAACGAAGTTGTATTTCTTTTCCTTTAATTAATAAATATTCATCCCAAACTTCACGTTGTGGTATTTGATTTTCATAAAATCGAAGATATAAACTTCGCCAAAGAATCTATAATTATAGATTTTAATATTCTTATTGCAACTATATTTTAACAAAACTTACAATACTTTGTGCAGCTACACTCGGCCATAAGACACTTAAATTCGGTTCATAGAATGGATTTAAAAACGCATGAAGAATTTCTGGTCGATTGAAATACGACCATAATGAAACTGTATGTTTAATACCATTATATTTTAATTTTTCTTTCTCATTATTAAATATAAATGTTCCTATTAAAATTAAATATATACAACATTCAGTTAGTATATATGAATTTGTAATCATACCGAATTTCGATGAATAAGCATGTTGAAATAATTCGATTAATAATGTATCATTAAATTCAAATGAACAAGCAAATTGTTGTAAAAGCTATTGAATATTAAATAGGAAAAAAAGGAAATTATAATAAATTTCTTCTTACTTGCCAAGTACAATCAAGGAAAAGTGTAAATAAAGGTGATTCTTGTCCATGTGTACTTCGACCAAATCCTGATCGTGAACAACGTAAACGAAATGGATGTCCGGCTTGTATCCATTCACGTTCAATTAATGCTTCAAAACTAGAAAAGATAAAAATTTTAAGTTTAATAAAAATTTCGTTTTTCTTTTAATACCCGGTTATTGTACGACAATCAGGATCAAGTAGGATTTGTGCTAGACTTGTTACTAATAATGTTGTATCCCATCCATCACTACCATGAATAAGAACTGATGTTTCTATTGAAATTAAATTTTTTTTCTGTATAGAATCGATATTGAATTGCTAATATAAATTTTTACCTTCACAATCAATTGTTTGAGCAACAATACATGCTGTTGTTAAGGCTTCTTTAACATGAAGTAACCAATTACTATTATCTAATTTGGATAACCATCGATCTTTTTCCGATTGATCAATACATGCTAAAATAAAAGATAGAATTAATTAATCTTTTTTTTCTAAATAATTGTTTACCATCCATTAATTTCGTAAATGATTCTTGTAAAACATTATGTTTATCTAAATGTCGATGGAGACGTTTCCAGAGTGCATAATGTTGGTCAGGTTCACAACCACCACCTTTAAATCAATATCGAAATGAATAAAACTTAAAGTAATAAAACTTATTATTTACCTTTATTTTGTGCACTTTTTACTACATTCGCATGTCGTGTATCAAGTATCCATCCTTTTTTATGTCGTTGTGTAAGCATGGCATTAACAAGTCCTTCATCTTCTTTACAACGACGTACACTGGAACCAATAAGTGGTTGTGCACATCGAATAATACATGACTTTGATGATTTATGTAAATAACATAAAAGTGGAAAACGGCCATGACTACGGAATTGTGCTGAACGTTTAAGATATTCATCGGTGATTGATTTTGGAACAACTAATCGTTCTGGATATGTTTCACAGATCTAAATCGAAAGGGGATATTATATAAAAAAGGAATCAATAAGAATAGCAATACATACAGCAAAATTTTTATTAACATCACTAATACGCCATTCATCACTTATTGCTTGTAATCGACTAAATTCTGATTCAACAGAAAATGCTGTCCAACCATCTTGAATAACTTCAAAATCACGTGGAAAACAAAATGGAAATAAAAATGTTACATCACAATTTAACCCATCTAAATAAAGAATTATGATGATTGAATTTTAGAATTCTCTGAATATACCTGTATATGTTATAAGTGCATCTAATGATTCAGCTAACTTTATTGCATCATCCAAAACTGAAACATCAAAGTAGCATGTTTCTAAAGTTTTAAGACGAACAATTATTGTATAAGTTGAAGACATTGATGGTGATAATGGTAATTGCGAACGAAATTCAGTTTTCATTGGAAATTTTGGTTGAATAGCATCCATATTAGTATAAAATATCTATTGAAAAAAATCCTATAGATATATTTTTATTCTTTACAACAAATGTTTTACCCAAAGTTCTTTATAATTTCCATCTGATTGTTTATGTGTAATGATAACATTATGTAAAGTTACATTAACTATAGATTCCGGATACGATTGTAAATGATCACGAAAAACTAAATTTCTTACACAAGGAATTTTAATAAGGTCAGTAACCATCTAAAAAATTATTAACATCATCAACAACAATAATAACAACAACAACAAAATATAGCATAAACAATATCCCTATTTATTTCTAAATTTTAATTTGTTGTTAGTCTTATTGTACTTGTGGCTGTAAATTTATACAATAAAATATACAATAAACCTGGTAAAAAAACAGTAGGTAATAATATCAAATGATATTCATCTTCAAATTGTGTTAAACTAATCAGACCACACAAAAGAAGAATCACATGTACGAGATAAATAATCCAATTTTGAATATTTCCACAAAGCTTTCGAATAAATGATATCCAGTTATTTTCTCCATTAGCAATTAATGTAAAATGAATAGCATTTAGGAATATAGCACTGGTAATAGTCAAAATTGGAAATGAAAAATCTATATGAAAATTAAATTTAATCAAAATTTTCAATGCATCGAAATTAAATTCCTTACAAATAAATCCACCACATAGAGCATGTAAGATTAATAAACATGGATAAAAATGAAGGGCACTATAAATTGAAGCTGATATAAATTTTTGATGAATTATTGATACAAATAATGGTCTTAGTAATAACATAATTAAACTTGCATATGTATATAAGACAAAGATTGCACTTTGTCTAGAATGAAAAATAGGAAAAAGATGTTTTAGTTTTGTTTTTTGTTTAATATTAAACATACAATGGATAAACAACTTCATATGAACATCGTAGTTTTTTTCGATAATTTACAATTGGATTATGAAACATAGGATAAAAATCACTGAGTAATTTCACTTGACATACATTCATTGTTAATTTACCAATTGGTGGAAATGTTAATAATGTAAAAATAAATGCAAGAAGAATTTCCAATATCGACAAAAAATAAAGAATTGTTTGTCTAAATAAAATTAATTCATATTTCTTATTATATATAGTTATCACATATGAGTATAATGCAATAGATCGAACTGAACTTGCTGACAGTCATCTATTGAATCTAATTTATTAGTTTTTTGCTCTAGTATTAAATCATACTCTTAATGAGAATTTATTTATGTCTGATTTTAATAATCGCTCATATAAAATCATGATAGGCAAATTTTGACCTTCTGATAATACATTCAATCAATCTTCAGTATAATTTGACAGATCGAAAGAGATCATTCATAGTTTTGTAACCTATCAACATTCAATTATGCTTCCATTGAGCATTTTCTGTTTCTCTCGTATTGCACTTGTGACATGAAAAAGTTATCAAACTTATGTAACATTTTTCTTCATTTGATAAATATAGAAGTTCAAAGGAATGCTAACCACTACTAAACTTTACTCATTAGAAACGGATATAAATAATTAACAGAATAGATAGTCTGTTTCTCATCTTCGATTTGCCGTTTTATTCTATCTATATAACACTAGGGAATTATGAATGAATTTCCTATACATAACAATTATTCAATTTTGATCAGATAATATTCGTGAAAGTTCTATAAACATTATTTTATTTTTAATCACAACGTACTTGACTAAAGTAAATTCTCGTTGTTTCTTCTTTTGTAAACGATTAATAAAATACCAATGAAAACTCAATGCCAATAATGCCATAAAAACAATATACATAAAATTGTATAATGATAATGTTTCATGACATAATTGACATATACTTTCAGTATTTACACGATATCCACGTTGACAAGCCTTAACAATTCAACAAAAAATATTTAATTGAGAAAAAAAAAAGAAGAATCATATATAAATCTCACCCCACAATTTGTACTATTATTTTGATAACCACAATATTTGCCAGGACACAAATATATTTTTGATTTCTCCAAAAAATTCCTACTCATGAGATAATCTGATAAACATCTATGAAACAAATAAGAAATTTCAAACTAATAGACATATATATTTATGATAGGTTTTTATAAACAACGAATGAACAAAAATATGCAAAAATTTAATTGGTTTTCGAAATAACCAATCATTATTTATCTTAAATTCAACAAAGGAAAAAACTTCGAAAATATTGTTTTTTTCTTCTTTCATAGTTTTTCAATAATAATTCTCGTTTAGGAATTCTTATTAAATTATCTTTAACGATAACATAAACTCGAAACTATAGAGGTTAAGCGAAAAAAAAAAGAACAGAAACCCCCTTTCTTTTCTTTTTAATGTATGCCTCTTGACAACCCTTTCTTTCTTCATGTTCTTTGTGCGTATGATAGCGACCGACGAGACGGGGCGACTATGTTTGCTTTTCCTCTTTCTTTCTCTTGAGTATTATTACAAGTATATTGTATTGTTGCTGTAGATGCTTTTTTCGTCGACGAGAGAAACATTTTATGATTCATCATATTTTGCTTCTCTTTCTGTTTCTCTTTCTTCTTCTTCTTCTTCTCTCTCTATTTTCACCCTCTTTTCTATTCTCTGTTCTAACAATTCGTCGTCGTCTGCTACTACCACCACCATCACCATCAACTACAAGATGATCAAATCATCGCGGCCTATGCAAACAGCATCGTTTTTTCCTTCTTCTTTCTTTTTTTCTCTATTCTTTCTATCCGACGACCGCTCGTGCGGTGAAGCCTTTTGCTCGACTATATGTTCGTTTATACATACATACACATATATATATATATATGTAGAAAAATATAGAATATATTTGTATGTGTTTTCTTATCCATTATTCATTTTCGAATGACCTCGTCATTCATTTCAATATTTATGGACGAAGATATTGGCAAGAATGGGAAAAAAAATCTATTTGATCTACTTTAGTATTTTATACACGTGTTGTTCTCTCTTGTTGTTTCTATTGACATTCGAAATAGTTTTGCCAGGTAAAATATGTTTTAAAGGTATGTTATTCGAAAAGAAGAGAATTCAAGGTGAAATCTATTTATTTATTTTTTTATTTAGATTGATTTTTTTTGTACTATGAACAACAGCCAATTTTCATCATTGAGATTGGGTAGGCGATAATCGCCATCAGAGAATTTCTACATGTATTCATATGTTTCGGTGATTTTAGCTTGTTTGAAGCATCACATGATTCATATGTATAAAATAGAAAATCTCGGCTATAAATAACTCAACAAAAAATAAAGAGAATATTTCAATTTCATTTTGATTTATATAAATATAAACAAAATAATAAATAGTAGTATTTCGATCGTCTTGTAGTTAATGCTAATGCATCAATAACTACTTGAGGATACGAACAAAGATATAAAACAAAGAATCAATAAAATATTTTTTTGAAATTGGAAATGGTTTAAGATAGATTCTATGTTTTGTTGAAGAATAATTGGTCTTTCTTCAAAGTTTTCTGGAGAAAAATGCTGCAGAGAAATTGGTCCTTTTTTGGAAATTTCTGGAAAAGTTTTTGAGAGAAATTCGCCCTTCTTTAAAGTTTTCTGGAAACAGAATGTTTGAGAGAACTTGGTCGCTCTCAAAGTTCTGGTAGAGAAATGTTTGAGAGAAATCGGTCCTTCTTTAAAGTTTCCTGAAAGAAAAGTGCTAGAGAGAAATTGGATACTTTCTTGAATAGTAAATATTGACAAATAGTTTGGATTGTGATTTTACAAAACAGTTCAGTTAAATTTAATATGATATCTGATCGGATTAGTGAGAGTTCACTCCAATCGTTAGATTACAATATGTGCTTACTCATAAACAAGCGAATTAGTTTAAGATCATCTAATATCTATTCTACAAAATCTTTGTAGCAATGGAACATTTCAGAGATAATATAGGTTGTTTCAGAATCCGTGGTTTTTCTAGAGGGAAACACTCCCGATTCTTTCGTTAGTACGTCATTTCTGTAATGATTAGAAAATGACGAAATTGGATGGTATACGATTCGATGAGTATCATTTGCTAATTGATAATGGTTTCGTAGAAAATCATAGATTGACTTTATTTTTATCCTAGAGAAGTACACTTTTTTTTCCACTTACATATATGCATATGAATGTATAGAAAATGGAAGTACTTATTCATATTTATGAACGAAGTTTCTCTCTAAAAATCGAATAGTTATGCAATGACAGTGTTGTTTTTTTTATGATGAGACTAATATGAAAAAGTTAAATTGATAGAAGTTGATCTCGAATTATTCAATACTTTAGTTTTATTAACACTTGTTATAAATGAAAAAAATTCGCTTACGTAACAATCAATATAAGATTCACTCAGATTCCTAAGTAAAGAAACAAAATCGACTATCTGTTTGATATGATTTTAATAATCATCTTCTTATTGATACACACGATTGTATAATTGATACAACAAAAAATGATATTGGTATAATTAAAATTTTAGTTTAATAACCAATCAAAGATATGAGTATTCTCTGCATACTATTGCCTCAATTGTCACTGGTAAATACGTTATAAACGTGATGATTGATGTCGTAGTACATAGATGAAGCTCTCAAACATCAACAATTAAAAATATTAAAATGACAAAAACAAAATATTCAAATATAGGCTCCTTATTATTACTATTGTCTTATGCTGCAGTCGATATAATAAAAATCTACAGTATTTTGCAGTAGTAACACAAAGGATGCTATGAAACGACATACAAATGTGTATATATGATAAAAAAATAATTGATTTCTGGTCTGTTTACTATTGATACAATCGTCAAGTGAATTATTTTCAAATCTTGGCGCTTGTCACACTAGTAAAAAGATCCAGACAATTGCTCGTTCGATGAATTTGGCCTTCAGATGAACGAACAAAATCAGACGTGACAAAAATCGGCAATCGTTAAGAGTAATGAAATATTTTTAGGATTGAATAAAAACAAAACATTTTCAATAATTCTATAAAAATAAAACTATATGCCATACAAATCGATGAACTATTCAAATTTTGCTTGCAAAAGTGAGTAAGATCGGAAATCTATTTGGACATGTTATATGATGACAAAAAATTGTGCACGACATTGTGAAAAAACTTTTTTTCAGATATTCTCTGCATGAAATCTAAGAGCAATTCTTATTACATGATTGAGTTAAGAAAGATTGCTATTTTGATAAATACAATATCTTAGCTAAATGAAAAATAAATGTTGAAAATTGAATGTTTCTTTATTATTAAAAGTCTTAGTTAAATTTTATAAAATAATTTCCATGTTGATTTTATTTGGGTAATGAATCAACATAAGGAAGTGCTTCATATATAATCAATTGAATAACTTTAGCTACATTTTCAATAGTAAATTTTTCATCTAAACCAGGTATATGAATAAATATTGTTCGTTTCGAATCAATGAATAATGATTGATAATAAATATATTCACAGAGATATCTTTAAAATAAAAATATATATATGATTAAAGATTAAATATTTTCTACCTTCCAGCATTATCAGATATTTCAATTGTTAGATTTGTTTGACGTTGAACTCGTACACATATATCATCAAGTGGAAGGCTAGTTGTTAGTATTTGTGGTGCATCATCTGGAATACATTTTCCAGTTTCTGGTAGAGTACCATTAATATCTTTATGACAATAATCTGTATTACAAGCACATCGTTCAATTCGAATTCCTTTTGCTCCCTGTGCAACACCAATATGTATGACTAACTATATTGAAATCGAAACATCTTTTTCTTTTCTTATGAAAAAAATATCTTTTAATAATTTACTGTAGGATTATATTTAATCCAATAATCAGGTATTTTTTTTGTCACATCATCGTAAACTACTTGTATTTCTTCAGATATAATATGCAATGGATAAGTCCATTGAATAGAAGTTTTTAATGCTTTAGCAACTTCCCAACTAGGATTATTAAATATAGATGCAAATGGACCAAAACCAGTTATAAGAACAACAGGAATATTTGATTGTTGTGATGAATTCATTGGAGGAAAAAAATCTTATTTTCTATTCTAGAAAAAATGAAAACAATTTCTAAGGCAACCAAGTGATAAATAAATTGTTTTAATAATGATTCAATTGTCATTATTGATTCCATTAGTAGACAAATGAAATATTTTTCTTTTTTTTTCAATCGATTATGAACATAGAAATCATCTTAACTAACGGAACTTGCGATCTATTTAAAAAAAAAAATCATTTCCGTTTCACGTTCAATAGGTATTAATCAATGTTAATGATTTAATATATTTTTCTACGTGAATAATTAGTTTTATTTTTTTGTCAAAAAATTTCCGAAGTATTTGAATTGGCATTGAGGATAAAAGAAACTTTTGTTTTCCAAATTTCGGCATCACTTAGAAAATCTGATAAACTCCGCATCAAAGTCGATAGAGAAATAAATACTCTATTGAATTATATATCAAAGAAGAGTACCCAGAAAAAAAGGTTAATAACCATATATGAAAACAAATAATTCCACATAAAAAAGTTCTATTGAGAGATTTACTAAAAAATAAAGATATATTCTATAGTAACTCATTAATTTCAACGTGACATTGATACATATATATAGTTTTTAGTTTGAAATAAAACCTCTTTGAAAAATAATCTGTTCATTATCAATACTATGAATATGCGCATTGATAAAATTTTTATAAATAGTAAAAAAACAACTATTAGTCTGATTAGTAGAAGTAAGTATGCCAGATGGAATGAATAGAAGTGAGTAATTGTATAGTATAGCAAGAAATTAAACATAATATCCATTAATTAAATAGATTTAAGATTAGTTCAATGTATTAATCAATGAAATAATAATAATGTTTTCTCGAGTTTATGATCATCAATCATTTCTGCTTGATAATTATTCTATTCTCAGAATGGTTTGAACAAAAGACCAGTTATTTTCATTATTTTCGTTATGCATTTCAAACATTGGTGTCGCACTCAATCGGTTTTTTCATATATCAAATTTGTCTTTTTTTAAAGTACATTCCACTTTCTTTTCTCATCTAATGATATATGAAAGATCAATTAAGATTTTCTTTCCTTATTCTAATAGATACAGGATTAGAATTTGTGTGAACTATAATAATCCAATATAATAAAAAAAAAGGCTTATGGTGAGATACAAAAGAGGAAAAAAAAGTCATTAATGCTAATTATTTTCTATTTTAGAAAAATCTAATAATAACAACAAAAACAAAAGTGATATTCATGCTATTTACTGAACTATATTTTTGTATTTACGCTTATGTTGTATTCAATTTAGCATATATAAAATAGTTTGATATTTCATTCATGCATGCATGAAAGACATTTCATATAATTTTCTTTATATTGAATTGAATAGTGCTGTCAATTCATAAAATATAAAGTCTTTCCAGACGATAAAGATTTCCTATTAAAAATGCATTTCATAATGTCTTTTAAATTTTTTTTTTGTCTCCGACGATATTTCTACTTGAAGTTAATTATATATTTCCATTATATATATATATATTCAGCTTTCAAGTACTTTTAGTTGCCTAGAAAATATTAGTAGATTCCTTTGAAAAGAAAATATTTATAACTTTTGGTAACTAGGAAGTGGGTCTTTATTTTTCCTTCGAGAATAAATAAAATATCACATATATTAAATTCCATTAGAAAATTATTATTATTATTATGAAAACTATTAACAACTTAAACTTGTTAATTTATTATATAGTTCAATGGAGTAGAAATAGATGTTTAATGAGCATTAGATGAAAGGTTATATCAAGGGTTAAAAAGAAAGCATGATATCTGAAAGTTTTCTTTAAAAAATAAAGACGTCAGGATTGATCTGACATTCTATTTTTTTTATGATTTTTATATGCGAAGAATTCCTGAAGTGCTTTTTATATATTGAAATGCGTATATATTTATTTATGATGATATGAATATTTCTTATATTTTGTGATTAAATCTATTATGATTACTCTAAAGAAATGAAAAACAATATTATTTGTCTTTTGCTCTATAACCTTTGTTTTAGATAAAAGACAAAAAAAGATTTTTTTTATTAATCTACTTTTTCTCGAGTTCTGCCTTTACTATATCTCGAATTGCTCGCATCCCCTCGTTCTCATAGATGACATGCACGCTAGGTGGAAAATTAACAATAGTAGGTAACACAAGTACTTCTTGACATGTCTTTGATGTCATGCTTACTATGCTTGATTAACATTTCTTTTTTTGCTTCTATAAATCTTCCTTATAAAATCTTGTTTTACATCACGTCACAATTAGTGAGATGTGATCCATTAGAAAGATAATCTGCACATCTTATTTCAACGGATGTTTTTCTACTTTTGTTACTAATATAAAATAACAACCTAGTATATATATTGATGAGAAAGAAAAGAACGAATATATTTTTGTATTTTGAACATTCTCTCTGTTATTTCCGATAAATAAAAAGCGCGACAAACACATTTTTTTTTGCTCTTACGTCTCTCCTTCTTCTTTTTTTCATCACGCTTGCATACATGCCATCTTATTCTTCTTCTTTTTTTTATACGAGCTCTTTAGAGTTGCTCGGGTGCACAAGATGACGATGTTAGTATAGACGGTTCTCGATTCAGTTTTTATATTCCATTCTTATACAATCATGAAAGAGCGAATGAACGATGACGATAACAACACAACATGAAGAGAAATGAGGAAAAAATAAGAAGAGGGAAAAGACAAAGAAAAATATTACTCGCTCTAGGTTCTCGGCTTTGCTTATAACTATCAATCGACATTTGAGTTTATTGTTTTTTTCAGAGCACCATCATTATTTTTCCATTTCTTTTCTTCTTTTCCTTCCCTATTCTCACGAAAACAACAAGTCAACGTAAATCTAAATGGAAGTGAATAAAGCGTGAAATGGTGCTGTCCAACTAGTGAAACAATTACACAGCAGTATAACAAATAATTCTTTAGCAACCATAAACAATTAAACTGATGGGTTTCTACTACGATTTATGTCTATTGACATGTATTATTTCAACTATTCATTCGTCTATTTTACCGGCTATTACAAAAGATTGGTTAATTGAATTTCATCAACATGTTGAACCAGAGGCCGCAAAACGTATTGCTAAGCGATATGCTATGGTTTCTCGTGGACCAGTATGTTTGATTTAAGTTTAAGAACAAAAAAATCTAAATTTTTCATTCTTAGGTATTAAATGATCAACATTTATATCATTTTGTTGATCTTAAACCATCACATCCTCAAACACGTAAAAGACGAGATATCGCTCAAGAAGAATTTATTCAACGACATGAACTTGTAAATGAAATTTTAATATTACTTTTTTTTTATTAAAGTTTCTTCAAATATCCATAGGTTAAACGAGCTATTCATCAAATTCCTCATACTCGTGTCAAACGTGGGTATCGCTCTCCTGATGAGTTTAAAAAAGATTTCCCTGAATATCAAACTCCAACTGATCCCTATTTTCAATATCAATGGTATCTGGTAAGTTTAATTTTTCTTTCTTAGAAAATCAAAGAGAAAATATTTTGTTAGAAAAATGATGGCCAAGCTGGTGGTAAACCACGACTTGATCTTAATGTTGAAGAAGCTTGGGCACTTGGTTATACAGGTAAAAATGTTACAACAGCTATTATGGATGATGGTGTGGATTATACTCATCCTGATCTTATGCATAATTATGTATGTCAATTAATAAAAACTAACTAATAACTTTTATTTTTAAAATAATAAATTTTTAGAATGCCGCAGCTAGTTATGATTTTAGTAGTAATGATCGTTATCCATATCCACGTTATACAGATGATTGGTTTAATAGGTAAAACAAATTTTATATACGAAATTAATTATTTAATATTAAAAAATAAATCTAATCTAGTCATGGAACACGTTGTGCTGGTGAAATTGCTGCTGCTCGAGATAATAATATTTGTGGTGTAGGAGTTGCCTATGATTCAATGGTAGCTGGTAAGATATTATTATAATTTAACATAGAATTTTTTACAATTGATTATTTGATAGGCATTCGTATGTTAGATCAGCCTTACATGACAGGTAATGATTAACAAACAAAAAAAAACGAATAATATATTCTTTTAAAAATTATTTATAGATCTGATTGAAGCGAACTCGATGTCACATGAACCAGATATGATTGATATCTACTCAGCTTCATGGGGTTTGTATTATATTCTTTGATTTATTTGATAATCAATCAATCAATCAATTATTCTAGGACCCGTTGATGACGGTAAAACAGTTGATGGTCCACGACATGCAACTATGAAAGCAATTGTCAAAGGCATAAACGAAGTATTTAAATATTCTTAATAAATCATGCCGTTACATATATATACATTAAAATTTTATTTTTCTTGCTTTTAGGGTCGTCGTGGTCTTGGTAAGATATATATTATTGAATATTCTAATAAATTTTCTAAATATTTCTTTCTTTCATATAGGTTCGTTGTATGTATGGGCTAGTGGTGATGGTGGAGCTAATGATGATTGTAATTGTGATGGATATGCTGCTTCAATGTGGACAATATCAATAAATTCAGCAATTAATGATGGTCGAACAGCACTTTACGATGAATCTTGTTCATCAACATTAGCTTCAACATTTAGCAATGGTAGAAGTGAAGATCCACAAGCCGGTAAGAATATGTTTTTTTCTAACATCATCAATTATTATAGCGATAAATTAAATGTTGTTTTTTTCCAAAAGATTTCATTTCTATTCACATGATTGCTTTGTTACTATAATTGCTAATCGATTGAGCAAAATTTATAACAAAAGAGTTGCGTGTTTGAAAGACACTACCCATTCTAGCATGAGATAATTATCTCTATTATGAAGAGGAAAAAAATGCAAATAAAATATTAATTTTCTTCTTTTTTTTTATTAATTTAGGAGTTGCAACAACTGATTTATATGGTCAATGTACTTTAAAACATTCAGGAACATCAGCAGCAGCTCCAGAAGCAGCAGGTGTATTTGCACTTGTACTTGAAGCCAAGTATAAACCAGATTATTTTACATAAGAAGATTTTTTGTTCTTTTTCTTTTTATAGTCGTCAATTAACATGGAGAGATATTCAACATTTGACTGTTTTAACAGCTAAACGTAATCAACTTTTTGATCCTTCAAAACAACATTTATGGCATATTAATGGAGCTGGATTAGAATTTAATCATTTGTTTGGTTTTGGTGTACTTGATGGTTTGTCTAATACTTCTTTTTTGATCTATTAATTCTCTTTTTTTTTAATCTGTCTAGCCGGTGATATGGTACGACATGCTAAAGAATGGAAACCATTACCAACTCGATATCATTGTGCTGCTGGTAATATAACTGGAAAACGGTAGATATTAATACAAATAAATGTAATTATCTATTCTATATTCTTCTTTTTTCTCAATTTAGAGCAATACCTGAAAAAGGTACATTGAAATTAACAATCAATACAGATGGATGTAAAAATACAAAAGATGAAGTTAATTATCTTGAACATGTCCAAGCATTTGTAACATTAAAAAGTAGTCGACGTGGTAATACAGTTATATTTATTACATCACCACTTGGTACAAGGTAAATTCTATACTAGGTATTATTTCTGTATGAAAATTATTCTATTTAGATCATTAATTCTAAGTCGTCGTCCATTAGATGCTGATTCAAATAAAGGTTTCTATAAATGGCCATTTATGACAACTCATGCATGGGCTGAACAAGCTCAAGGTACATGGACACTTGAAATTCGTTTTGACAATGAAGATAATGCTAATGCACCATTAACAAATCAACAAAATCAAACTATATCTGATAAAGAACAAAGTGCAAAATTAACAACTGGTAATTTCTTTGAATGGTCATTAGTATTACATGGAACAAAAGCCGAAACATATGCTGATCAAACTCCATTAGCAATACATGAAAATAAAAGTAAATTATCAATTGCAAAACAAATACATGCAAATAACTTTCATGACAAAGCCAAATATATAAAATTATTACAACAAGATAATCAAAAACGTTTGGGAAGTGATGATGAAATTATAATGTAAACCAATATGAAAAATAAAATAAAAATCTATTTTCATCTATAGACATAGTCTAGCTAAGAACATCAATTGTATTAACATGTACAGTTTTATCCCCCTTTTTTCTTTCTTTCTTTGACGCCATCATCTGAATTTTGTGAATATGAAATATACACATCATTTTCTTGTTCCGAAAAAAAAAAACATTATATCAAACAAAATGAAATGTGTAAAATGACGATCATTAAAAAATGAATTATAACAATAATAAATTGAATAAAAATGAAAGCATTATTGTTTTATTTATTTATTTATATTGTAGAGCTAAATACTATAAAATATTTATTTAATGACCATAGATATGTTTGAACAATATACTAATATTAAAACACTTCAAGTTGAAGTGATCAAACACTTGATAGAAGTGAACCGTAAGTGATGCATGTTTATTTCACATCTATATATTTATTAGTTTTCAAAGATGCAAAAGGAAATATTTACGATATCAAAAAAAAGAAGAAGATAATTTACTTCGTTGAAGTGAAACAATTGTAGCCAAGTGTTATATTCACTTATATTCATGAAATATATTTTTTCTAGAAAAACATTCCAAATAATGAACAACATATTTATCATGATCATTTATAATTCATCATAAAAATAATATAGAATTTCTTGTGTTGTAATATTTATTAGTCTTGATATTTAGACAATAATATACTTGTTAGAAATCGAAATGCATATTTCAGACTTGTGATATTACGGGTACTTGAGATAACCTCCAGTAATTTATTCATCGGAATAGAACATATGCGTACCTGCTCAACTTATCCTTATTATAATTTCTGCTAAGAATTATTAACGGACGTGTTCGGAAATTGAAAAAATTCATCAAACTGATATACATAGGTAGTCCGGAAAAGAAATAAACTACCTCGAAAAATTTTGTGAACTGGGTGTGGGTATAGAAGAAAATTAGTCCATACCTATACATCCATCCACATCTGTACCCACGTCCTCACCTACAGCTTATCCGCACTCTGAACGCCCGCTGCTACAACAATGACAATGGTCGTGCCGAGCTTCTCGGTGGAATCTCGCTACTGGTGGCTTCGAAAAAATAACCTTATCAGGTTCTGTTTAAATATATCCACACCTTTTACTTGTTGTCTCTTCTATGATTAATAAACTTCAAGTAAAAATTTTCCGGATTTCTTAATAACACCGTCCAATGATCTTTTCTCTAGTACAAATCAAAAATATTTTAATCTTATGATAATATTCAAACGATTTTATGCAGAAATCGATTTCTGTATTTATAGATATATATATATAAGAAATTTACAACAAAGAAAAAAACAAAAAAAAAGATATTTATGCATTTAATTGAGTTAGTTATTGATTTATTTAAATAGTATATAATATTCATTTTTTTTTCTTATATAACAAACGATAGGGTGATGTTGTTGATGGATGCGATTTTTCAAATTCTTTGACTCGTTCTTTCCATCGTCGTACAGGAGTACTTCGTAAACGTTTTACTGAACGTACTGCTTCACCTAAACCATTTCCAGAGAGAACAATTTTATTGCCACGTGTTAATGCTTTTTCAATAATATGTTGTTCAGGTGTATTAACTGATTGAACTGTAAATATATTTTTTTTCTCATCAGATATTTCTGATGTTGCTTGTGGTACAATTGATCGATTATGTACATTTTCTGATGAATGTTGTTCGTAAGCACGTACTTGTTTTTGAACACGGCCAGCTAATTTATCTTGAAGTTCAAGAATACTGTCTCGGCCACTGTTGAGTACACTAATATTCTAAATAAATCAGAAATAATATATAATATGATTTAGAAAAAAATCGATCTGATTGAAATTTTTCTTTTTATTAATTAAGTATATATATAGATTAAACAAAAAGACAAGAACTGAATTATTATCCATAATACAAAAAAAGAAATCAAATGTCTATACAAAATGAATTAAGTGTATTTGTTTACCTCGACATTCTCTCCAAGATTCAATGATGTCCATTTAGTAACTGATGTATGAAATAATTCATTTGTTGGTTGAGATATTGAACATGAAAGAGAACGTTCTTTAGATATTGATGATGGAAGTGCTGTTAATGATGATGACGATGATATTAAATTTGATATTGATGACGAAAGACGAACAGGCATTTTTGGTGTTGTAGATTTATTATTATTATTATCACCTTCAGATGTTTTTATTGGAGTTGTTTTAACATTAAAATTTTCATGATCTTCATCCTAGAAAATAAATATATATTCGATAATAAAGTTAAAATAATTATTATTTTTTTTACATCTGAATCTGTTAATCGAATACAACGATTTTCATTTCGTCGTAAAATTTCATCAAGTTCATCATCTTTATTAAGCTGTTTTTCAACTAAAATAGGCACAATTAATTCTTGATTATTATCTTTTATTTCAGATAAATTTCGTTCAACTATAATTGTTTGTAATAATGTTTCATTTTCATTATTATCATCTGAATTTAATATTTGTACATCAGTTGTTATTTGGTCATTTTCCGATGTAGTTTTATTATTATTATTACTTAAATTTCTTTCTAAATCAGCTTCATCAAGAAATGCAACATCAAGTGAACCATTTTCATTATTTATTTGTTCATTTGTAAAACCTTTTAATGATTGTCCATCTTCATTACCAACAACTACAGCTAAATTAAGTTCATTTACAATATCATCATCATCATCACTAAACGATTCTTGATTAGAATTTTTCATATGTTGTTCATCATCATCACTTGTATTTAATTGTTGATTTGGTAATGAATGAGAATAATTATTAAGCATGCAAACAACATGACGAGTTTGTTGTTGTTCACCACTCGATGATATTGAACGACGTGGACGAAAAGTTGAACCGGTAAATGATGTACTAGTAACATCATCGGAATGACGACGAACACCGAAACTAGAATGCATGAGTAATGAAGTTCCTCCTAATTGTTCAGTTGTTATTTGAATTGAATTATTTGTTGCTTTTATTGGTGATGGTGATAATTCAGTAAGTGAAGATGAATCAGCATGTGATGCCACTAACATAGGAGCATGAATAGCTACTAAAGGTTTTCGTTCAGCTTTCTACAAACAAATAGGTTAACACATTTAAATTAGAAGATGATTATACTAACCCGACTTGATTTTGGCCATTTCCATGAATCTAATAGATTGAGTCTAAATAGAAAATTAATCATCAAGAATATGTAATTAATTTATCATATTTACTTTTTTGTGTCAAGTGATTTATTGTTACATGAAATAGATGCTAGATTTGCAAGTAATGTAGGTGGTTCATGTGGTATCATAGAGAGTGGCTGGATAGTACTATGTACTGTTGAATTATTACTCATCATTGATGTAGTTAATGTTGTCATTGATCCAGTTGGTGTCGCAGTTGATAATGATGAAACAGATCCTGATGAAACGGATGATGTTGGATTAACAACAGTATTCATAAAACGTACAGGAACTTCGTCAGTAAAATGAAGTAATTGTGGTAAATGTGAATGTTCTATTTTGAAAGGAAAACCTATGATTAATTTATAGACAAATAGTATTATAAAATTATAATGAAATTTACCGGGATCATTACTATGTGTTGATGTTTTCTTTTTTCTTCGAAAAGCTGTTATTGGACTTGTAAAACGATTTGTATTAGGTAATGAAAGTTTTTCTTGTGATGATGTTTTTGTTTTACTAAAAGAAAATAGTATGAGAGATTGAAGTTAATGAAATACAAAAATTATATCGTATACCCTCGTTTTGAATTGCTACTATTTGGATCATCACTTGATTTACGTTTTGTTGTTGTTGCACTTGAAGTAGCTGACGATGATAAACAATGCCCATGAATACTATTTTGTTGGTAATGATATCGATGATCACGTGTATGTGATGATGATAGTTTACCACTTTGATCAAGAAAAGCATTTGTTTGATCACGACTATCATTATTTGAACCAGATCGACGACGAAGACGATTTGTCATATGAACAAGAAATTCTTTAATAATGAAAATAAAATGAAAAAAAGAAGATTTAATCAATATAATAAAATTACCTTTAACTGAACCACTACGTCGTTTTTTAGCATTAGCTAAATCACTCATTTTTCCTCCACCAATTCCATATTTCATTCCATTTTCAATAGCAAAACTATCATCTGTATTTTGTACTGCTTCTTTTTGTCTCATTTCTAAAAGCATCTGTGATCGATCATATATTGAATCAGTGACATAACCAAGTTTCGATGCATTTGATATTAATGTTTCGACAATATCACTCACACTTGTTGCACATTGTTCTGTCATAATATTTCCTTTTCCATCACTAGATGTACGCATTATACCAGGACCAACACAAATAGCTAAATTTTTTGCATTCATTTTATTATCACGTTCATTTAATGTTATTTCATGTAAAAACCGTAAGATATAAATAAGTGCATGCAAATGTTCATCGGGTAAAAGTAAAAGTATATTAAAATAAATATCAACTTTTTTATCTGACGGTATTGAACGCATTGAAAAACAATCAAGTAAAAGATCTTGTAATGGATATGTAATTAATGGATAGATTAGACGACGGAGAAATTCTTTAAATAATGAACAAACATCGAATACTGTATTGGATGATGATAAACTAGGTGTTAATGATCCATCTTCAATTCTAGCCATAAGTTCTTTGACACGTTGAGATCCACCTGATTTACGAAAGAGACCTTCATGTTTGATTGAACGACGTATACAATCAAAACACCATCGTAAAAATATTGGTACAGTTAAATCGAAATCATCTATACGTATTGACATTGTATCCATTTGATGAAGATGTACATTAAATACACGTGAACCATGTTGATGTTTTGCATTATTTCCAATATGTGGTGATGTTTGACCGATAATAATATTACGATGTTTATTTGTATCAATGCGCAAACCAATATTACTAAGATCATTAATAATAAATTCACGAACACTTCCTTTTTCTTCGATTGCAACGAAATTACGCATGTCGTCGTCGTCGTCGTTAATAATTATAAAAATAATAAGTATAGATGAATTAAAAGTTCGAACATCTCTAAAAAAAACAATATATAATTGCTATATAATATTCCTGTATACATAAAAATGTCGAAATTTTAATGAAAGAAAAGATAAACTTTCGAGACAGAGAACGATACATTTATCCAATACAATGTGCGGGAAAAACGAATAAATGAACCAATTATTTATTGATTGAACATTATTTTTAGTGACCTCTATTGAGAAAATTCGATAGTTTATAACACCATAATCATAAAACGATATATCTGTCAATATCAGACATTACATATCTCTATTCTTATAAGAAATATTGATGTAACAATAATAAAAAAATCATTGTGCAACGATGAAAGATAAGGATTTCTATTCAAGGAAAAGTTGAATTAAGATTAAAAATGATAATTTTGATATTATTATCATAAAATTAACAAGGATAAACTGAACGGAATTGTTTCAAGTAAACTAAGCTCCATATGAATATAATTGATGGAGCTTAGTCACTACGGATGACAGGATTATGAACTATTTTGATCTTCATATATTGCTTTCAACAATAAGTGCCTTAATTACAAAGTTTTTTGAATTATGATCAAAGCTAGAATTTTTTTAAGAATATGTGACGTATTAGTAAATTATCGAGCATGTTTAATTTAATCGATTATGGAAGTAATAGAGAGAACAAATAAATGATCGGTAGTTTATTTAAGATATCAATTTATAATGACGCAACCATTACCGATATATTTGTTTTATAGAAGAATATTACAAGAAAAAAACATTATTTATTAATTTAATGTATGTAAACGTCCGTGGACAAATAGATTGATGAAGTATTATAAAAACTGGACAAGCGAAAAACAACGATAACAGTATTATATATCGATGTAGAAAAAACAGTCATTCAAGCATATGTTCAATACATAGAAAATTGATTGATGTGTTTGCTGTTTCTGTTATATATATGTATGATTTGTGCTTGTGAAACTCTAATGGATGTATTATTCACATTGTATTTTGTTAGAAAAAGAAATTACATAAGAATAAAACAATTTTTTGTAGATCATGAATACTGTAGTTAACTACGTGCTTGTGTTTTCTTCATTATCTTATTATAATAGTACTTTAGAACTTTCATACTTGTTTCATTTTATCATTAATGCAGTCTAATTCATTTGAATTACTTTTCAACTAATGTATATATTGTTAAAGAAAATTTTGAGTTTTTATACAACAAAAACGAGTATTCATAAGTATTATATTTTCCGTTATAAAAATCATTCAATTAATCTATCTCTAATGGTTCATTAGGTAATGGAAATCATACGTGACAATTTATTTTTAGTATCCAATATTTATTTCATCAGATGATAAAAGAAAATAATATTAGTAATGTATATAAAATATAAATCATAGCCGTAATTGCTATTAAACGCTCATAATCAGATTGCATGCTGTGTAAAAGTTAGAAAGATAGTTGTATTCATTTCTACAGAAATAGATTTATAAGATAGTAAAGGAGGAGAAATAGGACAATAAATTATAGATATATCCACACTCTATCTCCTCCTTGACGTTTTCAACGTTTCTTATTCTTGCACTGCCATCAAATATATATATATAATATCAGCACAAACAAAAAAAATGATGACACAACGAAGCGCAGGCGTTGCATTTGCTGTGTACAGACACACACGTATGGAAACGATGATCTTGCAATACTATTTGGACATGAGTAAGGACAAGGTCTTCTCTTTCTTTCAGTGTCAGAGTAGAAAAAGAAGACGAAGAAAAGAAGAAAAGAAGAAAAGGCTAATACGGAATGCACAACTGAGCGACGCGCCATCCTATTAAAAAGAAGAAAGAACGTTGTCGCAGAGTATAATCATAAGAATCATATTCAAGTACTGTACTAAAAAATAATGGACTATTCATTGTATCCAACAATACCTGTTCTAATAGAACGATCAAATTTAGATCAAAAATGGGGTTTTCGTCTTCAAGGTGGAGTTGATTTTCGGTTACCATTATCAATTAAAAAGGTAACAATTTCATTAATTTATTAAATGAAAAAATATCAAAAAATTTTCTTATTCTATTTATGAAAATCTAGATAATACCAAATACACCATCACACAATAAACTTTATCCAGGCGATGGTCTAATGTTTATTGATGGACAAGATGTAAGCACAATGAAACATGAAGATGCACAATATATAATGCGTAATTCATTACGTTTACAACTTATTCTTCGACGGTATGTAAAAGCAACATATTTAGAAAAAAAATAAGAAACATAGAATTCAATGGATTGATCTATTCATATTCTATGGAAAATAAAACAAACATTAGATTTTATATTAAATATTGATAATACTCTATTATGGATGAATCTATTTGACATATTTCACAACATGAAAAATGACATTTTTCCTGCACTGCTCTCATATTAATTTCAAGATTAGTTAGAATGCATATTTAGACATACGTTAATGTAAGCCTTCTTTGTTTGTCTTTGACCTTCACTCATCAACAAGGATATGGAAACAAGCTTGCATAACATTCAATACTATTAATGACTCCATCTAATATGTGAATTTGAGTCTCATATGAATGCTGCTTATTCAGTTACATCAATGCATGCCATGTGCGTGAGAGATAATAGTTGAATCTTAACACAAATTGTTTATAGAGAAAAATGTTAAGATAGATTTGTGTATTAACCTTCATATAATTAATTGTTTGAGTTCATCAGATCAATGAACATTAATCATATGAATGATCTAATAGTGTCTTTAATTCAATTCAGTTGTATTCGGAAATGAACATCTTGACTTTAGGAGCAAAAAAAGAAGGATTTTTTTATTAGAACTGACATTATAATTTGTTCTTTTAGAAGTTATTAATCTTGAGTAGTGTATATATGCAAATATAAGTAGATCAAAATTGTATATGTATATACTTTCTTTTTCTAGTGGTCTTCTTAATACAGTTCGACCATCAAAAGCATCTGTTAAATTTGCTCCGGGACCTAATCCACGTGTCAATCCAGCATTATACAATACTACAACACCAAATAACTATCGTCGTTTTTAATTGATTTATTAATCTATGGTATATCTCTTTTGTTATACTAGACATCATGTTAAAGATTTTTAAAATATCAGTACATATATATCTCATGTTTAAGTTTATTTATTTTTTATTTATGCATTTAAAAATGGACAATTTTAAATAAAAGAAATCAATCATTTAATTACATACACCCGAATAACTAGTTCATAATATAGATATGTACCAGTCCTTCAAATCATTTAAACTCACTATCGATCAGACTATACAATGCTATTGTTAAACTTGAAAGAATTAGACGGGAAGAAAAAAGGACCGGGGGCGACTGTTAAAAAATCGGAAGTTTTTTGTTTTTTTACTAGTCACTCTCAGTTCTTTTTTCTTCTCGTCTAATTCTTCAAAGTTTAACAATAGTGTTCTATAGTCTGATCGATAGTGAGTTTTAGAGGACTGGTGCATGCCTAGTTCATAATAAACTTATTCATAAATACATAATGATGTAATAATGATCATAAATTTTATCGTCTTATCAAATACTATCTCGTCATATGTTTTGTTTCTGTTGTTATTATGACTATTATATGATAAGTTATAGATCTGACACAAAAGACGTTGATCTAACTGATCTGATCGACTAAAACAGACAGTTTATTGAATATCTATCAGATCGTTAGCTATATCAAGCAATAATATATACATATATTGATTTTTGTCGAGCTCATAAAAAAGCATTTTCATACTATTAACATTGCTATTACTGATGTGTCAATAATAAGAGATATTTACTCTGAAATTGCAGAGCCTTTCTATTCTTATAAATCTGTTTATTCTTTATTTTATCCATATACGTACAAAAGATACGGAATATTAACTGAAATATTATTTATGATTTCAATGGTGCGTGAAGAATAAATGAGAAGAAAAATGTTATATATTGACATAATAAGAAGTATATATGATGTAAAAAAA